TGCATCGAGATGATTCTGTAGCCGCAGATCTTCGAGTGGTCTCTATTAGGCTTTGGTAGCGGGAACAAATAACTATGGAGCCATTCCTCTTGTATCTGGCCACTCTGGATGCTGATATTGAATTCCTTTGCCACGCTTTTCAAATCAGCATTCGACATCATCAGCATGTCGTTGTATCGGATGCCGTCAGGGCCTGGAGCAGTGCTGCGCGATTTCTTGAGGCAAGTTCTTAAGGTATCTGCAGTGATTGTGAGATCAGTGCCTAGCACAGTGTTCTCGCACAGCATCGACAGTTTCATCTTAACCCCTATTCTTGTAGCTTCGTCTTTTTGGTCAGTTTGCTCCAAGTAGCGTGCCAGAAGGGTTTTTCCTTTATCAGCATCAGTTCTCTGCCATATCAGGTCTGTACCCTGAAAATCAGGGATACCCCTTGGTCGTGCAGCGCCGTGCATGCTCCGTTGAAGGCGCCAGAATGTCCCAAGAGATCCCTCGGAGCAAACGCTCTTGCAGAATTCGTTCCATTTCGCTGTCTTAGCTTCCTTCGCAATTACCTTGAAAGCCACTGTCTGCTTGTTGACCTCATCTTTCAGACTGATCAGGTGTTCAGAAAGTGACGGATCAATTTTCCTTGCCTTTTGCCATGCCATGACAGCTTTCCTTTTTTCTAGCCACGCCATGTTGACTACTTCATTTCACCATGGTGGCTGGGCCCATCTCTCCCGCCGTCTGCGATCTGCTCTTGTTTTACGTCGTCGGATTTTGCTAATGGCATCTTGCCCTGTACGGTCATATATAAAAGCAGGCACATTGATTACATGACCTTTGTTGTTGCTCTTCTCTACCAACACGACGCAAGGAAAGTGATCACTGTCGTGGTATCCCAGTGTGCTCCACCTGCATCCTGATGCAATGGAGGGAGACACTAGGGCCAGGTCAATTGCACTGTCAGAATCCCCTTGTCGTGTTGCCATTCGGGTAACTTTTCCGTCGTTCAAGCATACTAGATTGGCAGACACTAGGGCATCTCTTCATTTGGTCCGTACACAATGCCAGTATTGAAATTTTGTGTCTTCTTTCTTTCAGCTATAGCACCATAATTTGCTCTGAGATAAATTTCCATCCCTTGATGTTACTAACTTGATTCATGGCAAAAAAAAACAGTCAACACCCCTTTGGCCCTCTCCGTCATGGACACCACTGTAGAGCAGCATACTTCCATTGTGATCTGTGTTTTCCTCATTCAGAGCCAAGATTCCTTACTTTGCTTTTCTAATTTTCTGTTACCTCATTTTCCTTTCTGTTAATGCCTCTTATGTTCCGTAAATCGTAGTCCGTAAGCCATGTCAGTTCGTTGCTGTTAAGATCTGTCCGGTTTTCTCTCTGTGATAACATGTAATCGTACTTTAAGGCAAACAGGTTGTCACATATCGCTCCTGTCGCGTGCTTGATTTAAGGATTTCTCCTTAAGAACCAACAGCACTCTGAAATAATTATGTTGAGTCGTTGGCTCGTATTGGTCTAAGGGATGCCCCGTGGCCAATATACGCTCAACTTATTTCAGGAGTAGAGCAACTCAAGTTTTGGCACTACAAAATATATAATATTCCTAGGCACACTTGGCTGGACACCCCCACTACTATAAAAAGATAGCCCTCAGGTTATGATAGTATACTATCAGAGCCATGTTAACACAGATAACACCTTTTACTCACACAAACATCAAAGCTAGATAGTTAGAATGGTGAAATAGGGACACCCAAGTCAGCCATGAAAATTTATGCATGTAATCAGTACAATATATACAATAAGGAATAGATTCTCAAGAATGTTTAGTTAATGGAGTTCAGGAATCAATGACACAACTCAGATATTGAAGCAGCCAGATATTGTTCCATGAGAGTACATGAGTTCATCATCGGACTGATAAGGTGCTGTGTGAAGAAAGCATGTAATGTGAATAAAAGATCACTTAGCCCAGTTCGTAGGTCAATGCTCCCCTCAGTCCATGGTGATTCGACTGTAGTTGACTCAATCAGTAGTTGGGCCTCGACTTGATCTGGTACAAGCTGACTGTCACAAACGAGGACACCAGAACTGCATAGGAGCCCACCAAAGCTCTTGGAGACTGTGATGCCCGCTGCCGGTCTCACAGGTGATAACACAATAAATGCATAAGAGCCCAACAAAGCTCTTGAAGACTGGTTCTCTGGATTGATGACCTAGGTGTCTGCAATTGTCCACTGTTCCTGGAACTCACAAACAAGCTCTTGCCATGTTGAGGTAGTGACACAGTATACAGGACTTTTGGATCTGCTTGGGGCACAGAATGGTATGGGTTGGTGGTTGTTGGCTGGACTGTGATTCGTCTGCCTGATCTCTAACGAGGTATCATCCCAAGCTTAGGAAATCTTCCAAGATAGAAATGGAACTTTGAATGCGCCAATTTCTACATAGACTGTATACACGTCTTGACACTTTAGGATCAGGCGAAAGAATGTTTTTTCAAAATCAAACTTAGCGTCTCTAGGAAAGAAGTCCCCTGTATTCCTGCCCAAGGGGTAAACCGGTTTACAGGAATTTCTAAATAAATTACCAGAAATCGTCAACCTAAAGTTGCAAGTTTGAAAATGAAGATTTATCAAAGCAACTAGAGGGTCTAGAAATAAATATATTACCAGATAAAGGTATATATCAATATAGGGGACTATATACTCTTCCGGACGGGTTTAAGTTTGAAATTTGACTAAGCGTGAGGGAAGTCAAATTCACGGCTCGTCCATTGTGTAGGGTTGGCTGCTCACCTCACGACACAGGTGATTGGCCTGTTATGCCTTTGCGTGGTGGACGGGGCTGCCTCTTTGCAGTCTCCATGCAGGCCGTCTAATTCACGATTACCCACCACTTCTGGAGATGCACGAAGCACTCAGGTTCAGCCAGACCCTCCTCCTTTTACAGCTGGGCTTGGGATCAGTCTTTGCGGAGTTAGAGTGCTTTAAATGTTGGTAAATTATCTTTACTTATTTTAAAACCTAAACTGTTGAGAATATTGGTAAAATCTTGCAGTTTAGTTATACTGCTTATCTGTGTATGAATAGTGAGGGCATAAGCAGTAAATTGCATAATTTCTTATTTAATATTTTGCTGTAATTCATTAGGTGCATACTACAGAATTAGATCAACAGTGCATTGAAGTAGACAACATACATTAATTGTTTCACTGTTTGCCTTAACATATCAGTTTCAAATGATCAGCATATTTGTCTGCAGATTCAACTTGTCTTCATTCTCTAGTATGTCTTTGATGACATACAGTGAAATGCACAAGGCATTACATTCTGTAGTATGCCTTTGATGACATACAGTGAAATGCACAAGGCATTACATTCTGTAGTATGCCTTTGATGACATACAGTGAAATGCACAAGGCATTACATTCTGTAGTATGCCTTTGATGACATACAGTGAAATGCACAAGGCATTACATTCAGTAGTATGCCTTTGATGACATACAGTGAAATGCACAAGGCATTACATTCTGTAGTATGCCTTTGATGACATACAGTGAAATTCACAAGGCATTACATTCTGTAGTATGCCTTTGATAACATACAGTGAAATTCACAAGGCATTACATTCTGTAGTATGCCTTTGATGACATACAGTGAAATGCACAAGGCATTACATTCTGTAGTATGCCTTTGATGACATACAGTGAAATGCACAAGGCATTACATTCTGTAGTATGCCTTTGATGACATACAGTGCAATGCACAAGGCATTACATTCTGTAGTATGCCTTTGATGACATACAGTGAAATGCACAAGGCATTACATTCTGCAGTATGCCTTTGATGACATACAGTGAAATGCACAAGGCATTACATTCTGCAGTATGCCTTTGATGACATACAGTGAAATGCACAAGGCATTACATTCTGCAGTATGCCTTTGATGACATACAGTGAAATGCACAAGGCATTACATTCTGTAGTATGCCTTTGATGACATACAGTGAAATGCACAAGGCATTACATTCTGTAGTATGCCTTTGATGACATACAGGGAAATGCACAAGGCATTACATTCTGCAGTATGCCTTTGATTACATACAGTGAAATGCACAAGGCATTAAATTCTGTAGTATGCCTTTGATGACATACAGTGGAAAGCACAAGGCATTACATTCTGTAGTATGCCTTTGATAACATACAGTGAAATGCACAAGGCATGACATTCTGTAGTATGCCTTATGATGACATACAGTGAAATGCACAAGGCATTACATTCTGTAGTATGCCTTTGATGACATACAGTGCAATGCACAAGGCATTACATTCTGTAGTATGCCTTTGATTACATACAGTGAAATGCACAAGGCATTACATTCTGTAGTATGCCTTTGATGACATACAGTGAAATGCACAAGGCATTACATTCTGTAGTATGCCTTTTATGACATACAGTGAAATGCACAAGTCATAACATTTTGTAGTATGCCTTTGATTACATACAGTGAAATGCACAAGGCATTACATTCTGTAGTATGCCTTTTATGACATACAGTGAAATGCACAAGGCATTACATTCTGCAGCATATTTAATTTGCCTCCATTGTTAGAATTCACAATAGAAAGCATTGTTTTGGACTATCTGTAAATAGGAAAACATTACTTTGGATTATCTGTAAATGACGAAATCATAACATGCATTAAAAAATTTGCAGTCACAAATCAGAAATATAGCACATAATATGCTTGCCTTGGTAGACAAATTGATTGGCTAAAAAAATTGTGTTGAGATAAGTTTTAATTACTTAGTTATGCATAGAATGGGAAAATCTGTTGGTATCTTTTAGTATGACGAATGTCCTTCAAGGAAATATTTATGAGGTTAAATTGTTGAAAATCATCTTTTGTGAATGCCAAATGTGAAGTTGAGACGAATAATTCATGCAGTTATATTACTATAGACAAGTTGAGCACACTCAATTCATTTTTCAGATCTGGGATCTGAATGCAGGGAAGCTGCTTGCTGAACTCACTCTTCACAAAGGCCCAGTTAATACTGTTGAGTTTCATCCATCAGACCTGTTGCTAGCTTCGGGCAGCAGTGACAAGTAAATATCCGTTTAAATTTAAAACAATTAATACTAGGAATCTCATTTCTTAGCCACTCTAAAAATATCTTTTGTAAAATAATACTAGCCAATATCAGCTCACAAAGCCAGCGAACAAACAAATAAATTAGGAGAAGGTCTAAATTAATGTTTACAGTCTGGAGTTAGGGATATGTCCCTGCTATATATCATCTGTATAGCCCAAACCAGTAAAGCACCCCAAATGAATAAAGGAATAAAGACAGTAGTGAACTGCTCTTTGCAGATGACCATACTGTCATGGCCGACACAGAGAAAGATCTGTTGAGACAACTAGACATATACTAATCATCTGCAAGAAAATTTACGATTCCAAAATTTGTTTGTATGGAGAAATAGGAAATATTTCAGGGACAGTTACTTTACTTAAAATAAATTTGGAATGAAAAGAGAATATAAAAGTGAAATAAAGGTTCTACAGTTGAAATATTTTGGGCACATAAAAATAACATAATAAAGTAAAGGAACCATTATAACCAGTGACACATTGGGCATCTGATGTTAGACTCACTTGACTGTCTTTACTTCTCACAACATTGCCTGGTAGCCATTTTAGGCAGAATTGACCTGGGAGCCAGGGTCATTGTTTCCATAATCTGCCTGGGGCTGACCTTTGGGCCTAGATGTCACCACTGGGACTTTCACATAAACAACATACCCTGTTGAAAACTGTCCTGCCTAATGTGATATTTAATGACACAACAGTATGATGATGATATTCATGAAAGAGTTAATGACATTGAATGGGAGGTTATCTTCTGTGGCAGTGCAGTGAACACATGGGCAAAAAGAAGATTTAAAGTAAAAAGACACAATATGTTATAATATGTCAGTGAATGGAGAGTAAACATTATATCAGAAAGCTGTTGTTATTAACCAGCACAGCACCATTAGTCCACACCCACATTCATGCAGTCCTCCTACTTTAGGTCCTTATGTGAGTGAGCTGTTGGACTCCCGTGAAGGTTGTAACATTTCTTGCTATGACAAAATATGTTTTAATTTTTTTTAATTTAGTTGGTGGCACTTTACGACATTAGTTCTTATCTTTTAAATTTATCCATCTTTCTGTAAATACATTTGTTTACTGTGATCTATGAGATAACTTTCAAATCCATCTGTACTTCCTCTCAGTCTCTGCCTGTCATTTGCATGAAATAAGCTATGCATTCCTGTCATTATGTAACCCAACCATGTGGGTGGGGTAGATGGGAAGGACACACATGAAGAAAGGAGAGGATGGAAAGGGGAAAAGGGGGGCGGGGGGGGGGGGGGAGGGGGGGGACATATTAATGATAATTACATTGTGATGGAAAATATAAATAATTATGTTGAACTTATTATCTTCATCTTGCAACACAAAATAAAATATATGTATTTACATTCTACATTATTAACACATTTTTAAAATTGTTAATACACAGAACTGTTAAATTTTGGGATCTAGAGTCTTTCCAGTGTATAAGCAGCTCAGACCAGGACAAACAGCCTGTGAGGTAAGCTTTAATTCATTGATTGTATAAGTATTCGAGGTGTGTAATTGTGAAATAAAATGATTTGTTTTTCAGTTTTGTGGAGGCATATTTGAAGTCTCCTAAATTGTTTTCTTTCTCTTAAAATATTCTTTTTGTAAAAATGACACACTGTTAAAAAATGCATTGTGAGAAGATATTTGCTGCTGGGATAGATGACATACTTGTAATTGTTGCTTTATGTTGCAGGAGTATACATTTCCACCCTGATGGCTCCTGTTTGTTTAGTGCTTGTGGAGATACTTTGAAAGTTTATGGATGGGAACCATTTATTTGTCATGATGTCATTCCAGTACAGTGGTCAGACATTGCCGACATAGCTGTTGCTAATTCACAGTTGGTGGGTATATTTATAATGATTCTATTTATCATGGTTAAAGGTCATGTTCACATTGTTTTCGGATATGCTTTTGTAAATGTAATCATGATGTGCAGGTTTTTTGTAAATGTTTTGTTTCCAAGTTGCTGGTTTTTTTAATTACCTGATTATTTGATGAGATTATCATTGGACAACATCAGCTGACACTTCATAACTGCATGCTCTGTCTATCCCTATGGTGGTGAAGTCTTCTTTCCTGTCTTGTCTTGTGCATCTTTCTGCCCATTACATCTAGTCTTCCTCTTGCGTTTCTGCCTTCTACCTTCTACCTTCTGGCATGGATTTTTGTGTCCCTTTCATGTACCCATGTACAATGAAATTGCTTGAGATGCAGTAATCAGAAAGTAGAAAGAGCTAGCTTTATAATAACACAATTAAAAGTAACGGAATAAATGTTGCATCTAGTTTCATCAGAAACACTAAAAAAACAAAATCCCCCTAAAATTATTGTTGTTTAAGTGATTACTACTTTATTGTTGAGCTAGAGAGGTGATCCTAGGCCCAGACTAAGAAGTTTTACGCTCAGGACGTCAAGAAAAACCAAGAGGAATGAAAAAAAAGTTAAATAAAACATTTGGAGAGAAACAATACCTTGAAGCTAGACGCTGACCTGCGGATTGAAAGATCCTGATGAAGCCAGTTTAAATTTTTTGAAAATGACCTTGTCTGCCAGGTCGACCCAACCTTGTTGGGGTACCAGATGCAGTCCTGGGAAGTAAAGGTGGCCGGCTGATGCTGATAACCGACCAAATGCGGATTGGTCTTTAAAGTATAGGTCTAGCCCTGTATGCCCAATACGCCTGACGGCAGGGACAAGAATCCTTTACTTTTTTACTTGACAGTACCTTGAAGAGTGAATACGTGGAGAAGAACTTAAGTTTACAATAATTTTAATGTGCACATTTCTTATGCTGGTATTATATTTTATTCTTTCTGCTTTTGTATTAAAGTCTCCCACAGTATTAAGTCCTCTAATAATTTTACTACTTTCACTGTTTGTTGTAAGCATTCATAGTACTCTTATAGCACTGATTTGGTGACTTTAATGATTGTGAAATTGTCGGTGACTCAAACTTGTGTGTTGCCACATAAAAGATGCCTGTTCTCAAAGTGTTAATTGTGTTTAGTGGTGTTATGCCATTGGCAAATTGTAGCTGTCCATTGCTAATACCAATCTTCTGCTTGTTAATTGTGAAGTCAAGGTTTAACCCTGAGTCATGGCTTGGGACTTTGTGTTAGGAGCCTGCTAGACCAGTTCTTACCATGGTTGACACTACCACCAATTAAGGGTTGCCGGGGCAGTTAAGGGGGCTGTAGTTGTATCAGTCAAATATGTGAGGCAGTGGAACAGGTTAAGGAACAGTCGATTTTCAGTTGTTACTGTTCTCAGCACTTTGAGCGAACTGATGGTCCAAGTATTCAGATAAAATAGTAGAGGGGGATGGTGGTGAGTGTTACTGGGGTGGTTGAGCAGGCAGATGTGTGTTCTCTGCACTTTCAGAAATGAATGTTCTAAGTATGCAAATAAAACTGTAGATGAGACTTTATCGGACACATTTGTTTTGGTAGTGGTGGTGGGGGGGGGGGGGGGGATAGAATTGCAAGAGGGCAGTAACTACACATATGGCAGCGATTGAGACAAAGATGAAATATAGGATTGAAGATTTGCAGTTTCCTTCACTATCCTTTTTAAAAAGAATATATTTTTTCAGTTTAAAAAAAAAATGATTTGTAGTAGGGTGACTACAGTTAATTAGAACTAGAATGGGAGCAGCTATATCAAATTGTTTCGACCAGTGTTTCCCACTGTGGGCACTACAATCACATTGAGAGTCATGGTCTAGTAGCTTCATACTTTATATGTTGGGGGAGGGGGGGGGGGGGGTGTGTTAGTGGTGGTATTACTGTCTCTTCTGCCAAATTTGTGGGGGACTGGAATGAGCCAGGGGGCCGTTCTTGTGACTTTTGACAATGGATAGCCCAAATATTCAAATAAAATGGTAGAGGAGGCAGTAGATCATATTTTGGGCAACAGACCAAATTGTAACCGCAAGTCACAGCCAGGTGCTCCCTTCTCAACTCTCTCTCTTCCCTCACTGTTTCTGTTTCTCTCTCTCTCTCTCCCCTTTATCCAGTGTTATTTTTTGTTGTGATAATAACCCATGAATGAGAACTGGTGAAGTTACCCAATTTTGCATTTAACAGATAGCAGCATCATTCAACAAAGCCAGTGTGTCTACGTATGTAGTGGACTTGACTGTGAGTATATTTGTCATCTAAATTTGTTACTTGTATAAAATATGCCATCAATATTTCACAGGTAATCGCTAACGCAAAGTAAAACATCTGTTGATTATACTTTACAAATTTGACACGGAAGAAGATATTAAGGTCTTATGTGCTTCTTGCACATGCAAAAAACAATCTGCCTCAATTTGGATTCAAATCTATGACTGCCAGACTGATGGAAAACATACTGGCCATTGCACTACCTTGGCTTCAGTTGTTAGTATGCATAGTACAACATTGACACAGCTGGAAATCACTCTAAGATTTCCATAATTTAAATGTTGAAATATTTTAACATCTAAGGCAGCATTTTTACTGACATAAGGCAGCATCTTTACTGTCATGTTAAATGTTCAATGTTTAATTAATAATTGACATCACAGCACGGAACACCCCCATAAGCACTCTGTCCCCATCTTCAGCAGCAGGCGAAGAGTTAACATTCCGATGGTACCAGTAACTGTCTGATTGTATATCAGTCTCGCCTTCCCCCTGAGTGTCGAGCATTGGCCAGATCTCCTTGTAACTCCTCGCAGTGCCATTCTGCTCAGATCATAATGATCTGTCTGTTCCTTGGCACTGTTCACCCGCTCCCAAAGAGCCTTCACAACATCCAGCTTGTCATACATCAGTTCACCACCAAGTGGTGCAGAACCGGCCAGTCTATCTGCCATCTCATTTCCCAACACACCGGCATCACCTGGAGAAAATGCCCAAAGGATGCTAACTACCCGGGACTCTAAAGTGATGCTTTCCAATCTGCACGGAGCATACCTGTCTCCACCTTTCTCAGCATGCTCTGTGAGTCAGTTACAATGACAACATATATGTACAGCTGATTCTCAAGCCAGCGGGAAGCAGCAGTGACTGCCTCCACTTCCATTTTCAAACTAGACGTTGTGATATCATATGCCATATGTTGCACTAAGCAACGTCCATTCACCTTCGCTATGAACCCCCATGCACTTCATCTGCCCCTCAACACAGAGCCATCTGTATACACAATCACATCACTTGGGCGGGTATTGTCATGAATCATTTGTTGAACTTCTGTTTCTGCAGCACCAGCTGGCCAGTCCCTGCACTCACGTCCCAAAGTGATCAGAATCCTACACGAATCTGAAACCTAATTGGAAACTTTGACCCACTCCTCTCCTCGCCTAAATTTATCAAGCCTGCACACATGTCCAGTTGTGTCTTCAGCTAGCGCGATCCAAGACTTTCCTCTTTTTAGTCTGTGACCTTAGATCTACCCAGGGCTCCATGCAGGAGGTGCCTCTTGTCTGCAGTTACTCTGAGATGTGACTTTGCTTGCAGAACTTTGAGCCTATCTGCAATAGTAGGCAGTGCAAGTATCTATCGCATACATACTATACCGGGTATCTCTTGTACATCTTAGAATTACCCGCATGGCTTCATTCTGTATGCGTTCAAGTTTCATCAGCTGACTCTTTGATATGGTAAGCATGCCAGGTCCATAATCTATCACCGTCAGGATTGCACGCTGGAACATTGTGAACAACATTTTTTTCCATGTCCATTGCTGCCATAATCTTGAGGGCATTGAGTCCTTTTTGGCATTTCACCGCAACTGCATCCACATGATCCCTGAAGGACAGGCTTCTATTGAAAATTATTCCCAGATACCTCAGTTTGCTCTCTTTCTCTTTTGATGTTACTGTTATCAACTGAGGTTTGGAATGTGAGCTTTTACAATTCTATTGTCCAGAGAGCACCACAAAACAGCTGCCTTTTCTGAGTTAATGACAACACCCGTTTCTGCACACCAGTCTGTCACAGCATGTCTCTCCCCTGACTATATGCAAGAATATCGTCCGCAAATGTCAATATTCTTCCAACACCTGGTGATTCTAGTTCTGCAATCTTGCTTATATACACATTAAAGAGCACTGGTGAAATTGCAGAACCCTGGGGTAGTCCCGGGGCTATATTACATGGTTCTGAGGTCCTTGTACCCAGGCGAATGGCAACCATACGTGAATGTAGGACAGCTGCTATCCAGTTCACAAGTTTTTACTGACAATTGCCTTGTTAATAAATATCCAAACTAAAACCTTTCACATGCTCCAAGCAGTCAGTTATTTTCTGAATTATCTTATTAGAGTGAGGCAGATGGGAATTAATGGCTGCCACTAGTGAGACAGTGAATACTTGGCATGCAGAATGACCATTTTTTGGAGCTTAATGAAATAATAATAATAATAATCTCTGACCGTCATTTCTTACTGGTTTTCTTTATACTGATGGTCCAGTAACCAATTTATTTTTTATTCTTGATGACAGTTACATGGTCAGCAAGCAACAGATTCTTCTTTGCTTTGAATCTTTCATTATTGACAAGACGTTCTTTTTAATGTGGAGGCGTACTCCTTCATCTGTATCATTGGAACCATAACAGAGCTTGTCTGGAATAATACATAAGGTTTAACAGACTTGTATTAAAACAAACATACAGCTCTCTCTGTATCCAACTGTTTCTGTCAGTAAATCACAGAAATAAAAAGTCATTTTACATTAACTTTGTGATTTTGAGAATTCAGAGTATATAAATGTCAGTAATATATTTGTGGATGACATAACAGTTAAACATGTCATAGATAACAGACTAAAAAAAAAAATAGTACCAGACGGCTTCACAGAATCCCAAACACAAACCACAGGTAAACATTTCGGCTAGCGAGCCTTCAGGAGCACATACATAAATCACACAAATATGAACAAGAATACACAAAATAACATAACTGACGTATCTCTGATGGAAATCAGATTCCTGTCTGGCATGTAAAATGACTCAACCGTAACACAGAAACCTGTGTCCAGGTTAAGCAATTTCATTCATGTTTTTTATGAGGTGCCTTGTTGGAAATTAAAGTGGCTGATAATATGCTAGGTAACATGATGAAGGATTGAAAAAAAAAAAACCAATTTCTTTCATGGTAGCATTTACTCACTGTATAATTAAATTGGGTTGATTCTAGAGGCGTATAATTAGCTTAAGATTCACACTCAGCTGAGGATTGAACCCAGACAGCTTAGAGTCAATGCATTAACCAGTGTATGGCATAGCTAATGAAGCTAGGGCATCTCCCGAGTAGATCTGTACATGGCCAAAGTAATCAGTAATTTTTCAGCTTTATTATTAATTTCTAAGTTTATTTTTTAAAGCCTGTTTATTGATATTAACACATTTCTTCTTTGCAGAAAGTTGCCCCGTTAGGCGTTGCAAGTAGATCAGAACATGTGAGAGAAACATTACAGAGGTAATAGCCTGACATTTTTGAGGGTTTTTCTGTTTATAGCATTGCTAAATTCATTCTTTCATTTTTTACAGTATACTATGAAACAACCTCCCCTAAACAGTTTGACAATTTATTCAGTAATTGGATAGACCTCTTATCACATTTCAACCCGTCAGTGGCAGGCAAGAGTAGACAGTAAAAGCATGCTGGCCAATCAAGGGTCTTATTTCCAATTATGAAAATATGCACAGGCTTTCCTGTAATAAGAATCCTCACATAAACAAATTATTTTAATAGGCTGTGATTTAAAAACAAGCTGAAACAAGTATGGTAAGTTAGTACGAATCACTGAAATCAAGATAAGATTACTGCAAATATTGGTCATTCCAGTATCACTGTATGCATTTTTGGACCAAATGGTTCGATGTGAAGTTAGGATAATCTGTTGACTAACTACCTAACTTGTTAAAATAACCCTGTAGAAAATCAAATTGTGGAAGACAACCAAACTAAAAGGCTTTAGACTGACAGCATTCTAAAATGGGCAAAACAAATGTTGGTAAGAGACAGATATGTGGAAAGAAGTTGTACAGTGTTTTAAAAGTGATGTGCAAATGGAGGTGATACGGTCAGCTTCATTGCAGTGGAGGTGAGGGTCAGCTTCATTGCAGTAGAGGTAAGAGGGTCAGTTTTGTTGCAGTAGAGGTAAGAGGGTCAGTTTTGTTGCAGTAGAGGTAAGAGGGTCAGTTTTGTTGCAGTAGAGGTAAGTGGGTCAGTTTTGTTGCAGTAGAGGTAAGAGGGTCAGTTTTGTTGCAGTAGAGGTAAGAGGTTCAGTTTTGTTGCAGTAGAGGTAAGAGGGTCAGTTTTGTTGCAGTAGAGGTAAGAGGGTCAGTTTTGTTGCAGTAGAGGTAAGTGGGTCAGTTTTGTTGCAGTAGAGGTAAGAGGGTCAGTTTTGTTGCAGTAGAGGTAAGAGGGTCAGTTTTGTTGCAGTAGAGGTAAGAGGTTCAGTTTTGTTGCAGTAGAGGTAAGAGGGTCAGTTTTGTTGCAGTAGAGGTAAGAGGGTCAGTTTTGTTGCAGTAGAGGTAAGAGGGTCAGTTTTGTTGCAGTATAGGTGAAAGGGTCAGCTTTATTGCATTAGAGGTGAGAGGGAAAATTTCATTGCAGCAGAGGTGATAAGGTCAGCTTCATTGTAGTGGAGGTGATAGGACAGGCTTCATGACAGTGGGAGTAATTCCATATGACTCTGCTTTTACAGAATGGCTGCTTGCCTTGATTGTTGCACAGAGCATGACACTCCTTAGTTTCAGTTTTAACTAACCCCTGATGATTTCCGAAACACCTGCACTCACAAATTAAAGAACAGTCTGAAACTGAACTTTCAGAGTCCAGTGCGGATATGGGATACAGACTACGATGATAGTGAATGTCCCTGTCCGTCCTTAGTGACGGAAACTTGACCTGTAACTCGGCTGTAATGAACCAAAACTAGCAGAAAGGTGTGGCTGAACTAGTTAACTGCTAATAAAACCACGGGTTCTTGGACTGAGCGACTGAGCTGCAACGGTCTACAGAACCGATGGTTTTTGACTTGAAAGGGGGAGTTCTGTACTGAGATGTTGCGACTGTTTGACTTATGTTATTATTACAGTGTTGTACATTGTTCGACAGAGATAGGATTATGGACAGTAATGTATGGTGGTAGCACGCTAGATATTGAAGTTATTCTGCCAGCAGGGTTAGCGTAGTAATTAGCGACTTGAACTGTCCTCACACTTCTGTCAGCACTATGCAGATGCGCCATAATCCTGGTGTGAATTCCAGGGGCAGAGACAAGAGCTTGAGTCGGAAACAAGGGTGGGTTCAGACCAGGCATTATCTGTAGATCGGCAAGGCCCGTGAGTGAGTGGTGAATTGAAATCCTTATGGTTGCGTTTATGAAGTTGCCGTAGCAGACGCTCGCCACGGATTGGAAGGTCGTGGGTTCGCTCCCTGGTGGAGCCGGACTTTTCTCAAAAATGACCTTGTCTCCCAGGTTGACCTAGCTTTTAGTGGGTACCGGATGCAGTCCCGGGAAGTAAAGCCCTATATACCCTAAACGCTTAAAGGCGTGGAAAAGGGTGCTCTTTTTTGTCGCATTTAGGATTGTGGGTGCCCATCATTTTGGGGTTAACTACCAGCTATTTATTGTTTAGTACATTAAAGACTGATGTGTGTGCTCTGTAAGTGTTTTGGCTTAATCAGTCCTAGTGATAAATTGTCTGTCAATAGCCTACCAATGAGCCACATGGCGTCACGGCAGGGATAATTGCTGGCAGATAAATGGGAATTTGAACCAAATTAGAAAATGATGACACAAACTCCTGTGATGAAAATTTGCCATAGAGATTCCCTGCAGGGTGTCATTGATAAAAGTGCTGAACTACCTAGATTAAGGGACAAATCACAGCAGGTTAAATTTTTTCACACCATGACAATCTTTTTAAATTTGTTTTTCAAATTTTGTTAAAAAAATACACATCCCATCCTTATAATTCTCTGAAACTCTGCCCTAGAAAATAGAAGAGAAGCAACAGCAGAAGAAATTTGTAGTCTTGGGCAGTTTTTATAAACATCCAGGGAATCAAACCCCCAGACTGCAGAGAAGACAGGCAGGCGATATCCTCTGTTTTTTCAATGTCATGTCAAAAAAAAAAAAAAAGTTCAAACATTGTTTGAGTCTCTGAATGTCTAAATTGGGAAAAGGTTTATTTTTACATGAAGGAAAGAAATCACTAAATACAAACCTAAAAAAGAATTAGCTCATTTCCTTCCCTTTGTCTATTTTAGTTTTTTTGGGGTCATTTGGCAGCAGAGTGCAATTTATTGTCAACAAAAACCCTTTAAATGTTTTGAAATGGCTAAAGTTGGTATTTTATAGTAATGGTAATGTGTCATTAGAATTTAAAGGCAATTGCTATGACTTGTAGTTTGTAGAATATATAGTTTAATAATAGGTATTTTAGCAGTTTTATAATTTCCTTGATGCTTTGGGGCTGGGCCGATGAGTATTTTGATCTATTGTAGCCCATGGTGATACTCACTGGTTGCCATGTATAATAAAGGCTCCTGCCTTTTATATTGCCATTTATTCCTAATACAGCCCCCTGTGGGTTCCAGGGCTTCATTTGGGAAAACAAAAATAGACCCCCTGCCTACCCAGAAGCATGTCGTAAGAGTTTACTTATTGGGAGCTTCCTTTGGAGTACATCTGCCTGAGAGGCAAGGAATTAACAGTCTGCATATACATGAGTCAGAATTGTAAAACAGATGTGCATACAACACTCAAGGTTCTGGAACAGGACTAGAGTCCTGAAGTGGATAAACAATGAGAACTTTCTGCCAGAGTTTACAGATGGTGAACGCTAAGAAGAAGAAGAAGGTTCCTAATACAGGTGTTTCTACACAGTGGTAACCCATCAGTTGGTGACACCATTATCATTGTGTTTTCCTTCTTCACTACTGGTGATGTGTCGCCAGCCCCATCACAAGATGACTATTTTATTATGGACAGATCAGAACAAGTTATTATCCTCTGCCTCAGAACAGGGCACAACTGATTTTGACACATTAAGGCAAACTTTTTTGGCCAGAAAGAACTACAGTGGAACGTCAACTCTATGGACCACTGAATGAACTAACAATGACAGTGAAATTTATATGAGACAAAATTGCTGATATAGACAACTTATTTCAGGCAAACAAAAGAAGAAGATGAAGAAAAAGAATAAGAAGACTTTATTAATTTGATGTCAGCAGTTAGAGAATGCTTGAATACACTTCTGTAAAACCAGCATAAATGATTCTCCTTTACTCCATCCCTGGGTGTACATGGCAGCTCTGGATTCCCTCTGACTATTTGTTTCTTTGTGAATGACTTGTTAGGTTAAGAAAGAACAAACTCTGCCTATAAATGGTCACGGAGGCCCATGCTACATGACATCCTGCCTGCTACTCATCTTTGACACTTAATTTTTATTCTAGCGGTATGCATGTTAAATTCACTTGTCAGAAAACACATGATGTCAGTGTTAGGCATAGACATAGTATAGACTGAATATGTTATGATACATACCTTTGTGCCACAAGTTCACACATAAGGGGGGTAAATGGGAGAGGATAACTGTTGTCAGTTAAGTGTTGAAGAATGTGATTTTCCTGATCTGTTCCTAGCTCAAGTGGCAGAAGAAGCTTCATTTTAGACCCTCAGACGTCTTCCAGACAAGCCAGGTAAACTCATTTCTCATTTTGCAAAATCCTGTTCAAATAAACACCATTAGTTATGTAAATCTATGTTCTTAAAACTCTGTTTCTTTTATACAAAAAACAACAACAAAAAAGAAGTGACTAGGGAATATAGATGGAATACTAACAGGACTGGGTAATCCTCATCCACATGGTGGCACATTGTGTCATCTGGTGTTTATCGCTTGTGTGATGTTCTGGTGGGGTAGAAAGTCAGGACTGAGTAATAAGGGCAGCTGAAAAATTCAATCACTGATGGTGACAGAGACTCCTGGGCAGAGATGTGGTTTCTTTTTGGATGAAAAGCAAGGAAGTTCAGTATCCAGGTACTTATGAGCCAGATTCACAAAGATATTCTGTTACCCTCATCATTGCAAGTTATTTTCTTTTTTCTGTTCAGGTAATGAGAGGATAGCAAGGAGGAAATTATGAGAACCAGAACAGATTTGAGATTAAAAATAGAGGTCAGCTGAGGGAGAAGGATATGTATGGATTTGAAGAGTGGCACAGAAGGTGGTCATCAATTGTGATTATCAAGTGCAACAAGATTACATGCACAACATGGGTGTGCACATGTTTAGGCATGATTTATTTTGCCTACATCCTGCAAAACATTTTGCATGCAAAAATAAAGTAAAACAAGATAATTTTAATGTTTTATTATCTCCAGAGAGAGAGAGAGAGAGACAGAGAGAGAGAGAGTGAGGGGGAATATTGACTTTTTGTGGCTGCCAGTTTTCTTATAATTTTTATGTGCAACCGAATAATCTCAGATAGGACTGCTTCACATACAAGTAAAGGTAAAAGGTAAAGTCGGGAGATGTGAACCAGCATCATTGCGCATGGTTATAAACCATAAGTGCTCTGCCATCAGTATGGACAGCTGATAAGAAACAGTCCACCTGTGTCGCCGTCTGCAGGCAACTTCATAGCTACAGCGACGTTCCTCCATTTACCACAGAGTGTTAACTCTGGTACCTATTACCTAGAGGTTGGGTGAACCCCGGGAACCGCACGGTTTCGAACACCTGCCATGGGCTGCAGTGAATCACAGCTGGATTTTAAAGCGACTGCAATAACGCGGCCCTCATGGTGTCAGAAGTGGGATATAGAAGTATATGCATGAACATGTGCTTTCTGATGGCAGTGTGTAATTTCAGAAATAACTTCAATAAAGTTGCCCAGAGTTGACTGTTTTTGCTGGAACTGTTTATGTTTTGTTGTTGATAATTGTGTGTATTTTATAGTGAGCCAAAACGTGCAGACACTCCCCCTGATAAAAGTGACAGTAATGATGATGAAAGCTCAGTGTCTCGAGCAGACATACAGAACCAAGATGACTATCTGAGATTCTTTAAAGAACATGCAAAAAATCGTAAGTATTTGTTTGCATTGTTGTCTAGGATGTTTCTCATATTGAGGTATTTGCTGTGTGACCACTTTGTTTTGTGTGAGTGCTTGCTTGCTGCATCCCTAGATACTGAGTTCCTTCCTATTCTCTTTAATGCACTCCGTTCTCAGCTGCAGCTTTTGCTTAGATTTATTATCCTACTTCTTGGTATAGACATACAGTTTATCATGAATTCTTTGAGATATTAACACTTATGTTAGCAGAAGAATGAAAACCTAGGATACACAGCATTGGTTCCATTTATTATTTCTTTCTGTGATAGCATATTGGAAACTACTGATAGAAACCCTGCCTGTCAAATACATTATCATATGAATCCATCACAACATCAAAGACATCTTTATATCAATGATCACTACAGAGAGATAGATAGTAGATGGTTATTGATTTTTACAAATAGAAGTGAGATCATTAAAAATAGTGAACATTAGAAATGATACACACACAAAAAATGAAGTGAGTTTTAAAATGTAGGTAACAAAATAATGGTTTCCCTTTTCTGAAGTCTTGTTGATAAAGCATGAACATTCATCTACTTGTTCTCTCACAATAAAATCAGTGTTTCACAATAAATTGCGCTTCTGTGAAGTACCTGTCATCTTCATCAGCCACACACAAATCTAATCTCATATATCATGGCTATTAATCTTCAATCATGTTTCTAATTTACCCTTACAACCCTGTGTCTTTTACAGTGCTATAGTGTTTTGGTAATAAACTCACTTTTGTGGGCATCTGTTTTTAATTTCACTCCTGTTTGTGATTTTTTTGTATATAGGACTTTTAAACTCATTATTGATTTTAATCTGCAGTCAGTTTTGTAGATTATACTTGCCATAAAGCTGCTTATCATCTTAATGTCAACGGCTTGTTGCCAGCTCTATAACAATAATATCTGTACTAAACACAAACCAACTTGACACCGTCAGAACACACATATCAGCCTTTAGTGTAGTAACAGAAAACAGTAAGCAGTTAGTCCTAGAGGTGGTTTGTAAGCCTTGCCCCAAGAGGCTGGCTTTAAAATCGCAACTAACACACTGGCCATCCAGTTGTTCCAGGTATTAACAAGGTCCGAACCAACAGTTTCCAATCCGAGCTCTTTCCGGCGCCTCTCTAAGCTACTCAACAACCAGTGTGCGACCGAAGAGCTCTAGTTAGTGTGATTGGACGGACCACACTACCGTGATGAGTCGCCTGAAGACAGTGCCCACTACATCATCAGGATCTTATAATGACAAAACCCCTTTTCCAATCACCTCGCTAATATACATATTATTAATCGGGTAAACAGCACTTCAACCAACTAACTTTAACACTAATCACACTGAACCGCCTCTATCAACACCAAGTTAAACTACTTGTTATATATAATCAGACAGTTACTGGTGCCATCAGAATTGAAACTCATCGCTTGCTGCTGAAGATAGGGGTGTCCCTAGTGTTGCGATGTCGATTAATAATTCAGCATTCAACGACATTCCCTGATGTTTACTGCATAAATCTTTGTTGCATAGTATCACCTGTTCTGTTTTCTGTTATTTTATGATGGGAGTTTACCAGTATCCAGGAGCTGATATAAATGTATATCACAATCCTGTAGTATTTGAAATTAATGAACAGTTGAAACATTAGAATCACAGATTGATTATATCAACACTACAGCAGCCAGTGGTAAAAACACTTGATAGAAGTAACCATTTAATTTCAAATCCTTTGACAGGTTGAGGGAAAAAATCTGACTAGATTAAAAAACATTTCTTACCAGTCTCAAGAAAAAAAAATAGTTGGCTTGTTTGTAAGGAAGAAAATCTAATGTTCCCCAAAATATTTTGACGACTGGGACAAAATTATTCTTTCAGAAGACAGCTAAGATTACTCCTGCATAAGGCTAGACAGTAGTCAGGATAATAAACCAATCTGGCTAACATACATATGTGTAAAAGATTACAATCAGAGAAAGTTTACAGAAAATGTCTACACCACAGCAGGAGTTATTTCCCCCAAAGGTAATTCAGTTAACTCTGTCGCCCCGAGGCAAAAAAAAAAACACTTCCGGTGGAGTCCAGTTCCATGTAAATATCACTTTTCCTACTTGTCTACAATGATGTGTTTGTGAGATGCATAGTTATTGCTGTTGGCTGAGTTTGCAGCTGGGCAAATGTTTAGGAGGTCAGAATATGAATATATTAGCTAAAAGCAGCATGGAAGGGTTTACATGAACCAAAATATTTTTTTATGAGACATTAAATTTACCCTTAAGCTTCAGTGATAGAGCTTATGAGGTCAAAGTGTGAGTCACCTTATTTATCTTGTTTTTTATGACCTGAAGAATTATTCCAGTTTGTGTTTATTGATAACTCCCTTTGTATATTTTTATATACTTTAAATAAAATTCTAAACACATATAGATAAATCATCATTATGTAGCAGGTCCTTTGCAGAACATCGCTCTCATCACACTCTGCCTGAAAGAAACTCGGTCTCTCGCCAGCTGTCCCGCCTCATGCACTTTCATATTCAAGGAGTCACTTATATCCTATGCCCATATTCCTGTTGGTCGGCCCCTGCCCCTCCTTCCTGGTACCATGCCTTCTGCTATATTTTTTTTTCCAATTTGTCGTGGCGCTTGATATGACCAAAAGTATTTCAGCTTCTGAGACAGGATGCTGTTTATTAGCCAATCTTCCTTGATGTTCAGATTTTTCAAGATGTCGGTATTTCTCCTCTTCTTTGTCCAAGATATTCTGAGAATCTTTCTATACTATTTCAGCTCAATAGCCCCTAGTCTCTTTCTTAAGGACTGGGAGATATTCCACGAATCACATCTGTATGTTGCTACAGGGAAGATGTATGCTCTCAAAATTCTAATTTTGATCTCCTTGCTGGTGCTTAACCATAGACTTTTAATGCTGTTTTAATCTTTGCATTGCTATAGCCATCCACCTTTTAATTTCTGCCAGTCTTCATTGCTATTTATTATAGAGCCCAGATATTCAAAGTTTGTGACATTTTCAATTTCTTCATCATTTATTGTTATTTTTGGGTGGACAATATTTTTTTGTTTTCTTCAAATTCAGATTTTGATCTTCACTGTGCTTTTGAACAGACAGTACTAAATTTTCTATTCCCTTTACACTGTTTGAAAGGAGGACTGTGTCATCTGCCTAGGGAAGTTCTGGAAAATAGATAAATACATTTTTTAAAATGTATTAATGACCTTGTGTAACACTTAAATAATTTTTCCAGGAATTCCCACAGGGTAATGACCCATTTGTTTTAACATTACTGGGGCTACAGGGTTAATTATCCACTCTTTATCAACTGCTGGTGACACCTTGGTTGAAAATAGAATTAACAAAACACTGACTGGTAATTTCTATAGTGTAAAGAATTGACTTGTCTTCAGTCCTCACATTAACCTAGGTTTCTTTGTTCAGCTTAGGCAGGTACAATGCTTTTTCCTCCAAGAATATCCTTTCATAATGGCTCATGCACAAAATCACTCTTGAGTTAAATGGAATAACCTGGAACACCCTCAATTGATGAGGAACCATAGCTAAGCTTATTTGATAGATACAAGCAGACTAGTGAGTTTTGATGCTTGTAGTTCCCGGCCTGTGTCTCAATTTTGTGCTAATCCCCAATTTTTATTAACCAGGAACGTTAAGGTGACCCTTCATTTGGCTGACATTATCTGTCAATTCTACTGGGCTGCTATAAAAGGAGAGATAGATAGACAGATAATTGGATGGATGGATGGAGAAAGAGAGAATGTATCAAAAAATAGATAGGCTGACTTCCAATTATTAATTCAGCAAAACTGGAATTGAGTTGATTCAAGAACTGACATCACAGCACTCAGGGCATTCCCATAAGCACCCCATCCTCATCTTCTGCAGCCAGCGCAAAGTTCCAATGCCAATGCTGTCATTAGCAGTCTGATTATATGTCAGTCTTGCCTTTCCTCTGCCTTTCGTTGAGTATCGGCCAGATCACCTCGTCATTTTTCGCTGCATCACTCTCACCAGACTGATGATCCTTATGATCCTACAAATCGTATACATGCTCCCGTAAGGCCTTGGCCACGTCTGCTTTATCACAAATCAGTATTTTACCAAGTTGTGCAGAGCAGGCTGGTCTGTTCGCCTGTTCATTTCCCAACACACCGGCATACCCCAAGAAAAGATCCAGACAATGCTCCTCACCCATGATCTTTGAAGCGAAGCATGCCACTCTGCACGAAGCGTGCCTGTCCTCACCTTCCTCAACATGCTCGGTCAGTTACATTAACGATATGTGTGTGTGTATCATGTTTTCCAACCAGCGGAAAGCTGCCATTACTGCCTCTATCTCCATTCTTAAGCTTGATGTTGTGGTATCATATGCTAGTCTCTTCTGCCCCAAACTTTGACCTTTAACTTTTGCTAAAAAACCCAAGCACTTTTTTTGCCTCTTGATACTGAACCATCTGTATAAATAATCACCTCACCTGAGCAAGCGTTATCTTGAATTAATTGCTGAATTTTCACCTCCCTGGCACCTGCTGGCCACTCTCTGCACTCCTGGCTCAGTGTGATTATAACTACACAGATCCGATTGTTTCGCTGGCACTCTGACCCACTCCTCTCCTCGCCTAATGTTCTCCAGGATGCAGATCTCTCTGATCGTGTCTTCAGCCAATGACCCTTAACTGCGACTAGTGCTTTATGCAACACCTTGAGCCCACCTGCAGCAGTCGGCAAACCGAGGATATTTCACATACACACTATTGGTGTGGCTCTGGTATAGCCCAGAATGACCCGCATAGCTGCGTTGTGTATGCGCTGTAGATAAACCAGCTGACTCTTTGAGGCAGTGAGCAGTCCTAGTCCATAATCAGTCACTGAGAGGATTAGATGCTGATATAGTGTGAAAAGCATTCTCTGTTCTAAGTCCAAAAATTGGAAAAATGAATATATCACATTGCATATTACTACTGAGTATGAAATCAGTACTAGTTCAGGAGATCATTCTTCTGGATTTTACAGGTTCGCTAATACTGGGTCATATTTGTTGATCAATTAATATTGATATAGTAACCCAGAAAAGCTCAGGTTTGCCTATATTTCATCAAAACAGCTGGGGGGGGGGGGGGGGGGGGTGCTCTGACATTCTAGACTATTGAATGAATCAGCTGATCAGTATTAAAACAAACTTTACTTTTTTCACAGTTGTTTCCATTTATTTCCCTTGTTTGAATGCCAAATTTAGGTAGATGGTTTGCTCAAGATTGCTTTTAGTGTTCTTTACTGAATTATTGTCAGGCACTACTAATACAAATAGTTTCTAGTTAGAGAACCCGTTTTCTTTCTCCCCTGCTTTTTTATCTTTTTTTAAAATTTTTAAAATTGTATTTCTTTGTTTACTACTTAGATGTCTCAACAGTTTCTGGGAATAATGTTTTATGAAGAAGAAAAAACTGATCTGAATTAGATCTGAACATTGAAGAAGTTGCTTAAAAACTGAGAGATTTAGACGGAACTAAATGTTTCAGTGCTTTAGAAAAAAACAGTAATAGAAGGCAGGTTTCCTGAAATAAAGAAAGAGGGTTCTGCCAACATGTCGGTGGTCACCAGGGATAAACATGCAAGAGAGCTGGTGAATGAATGATCAAGAATCTTTCCGGCAGCTTTTGATGAGAGTGCCTTTTTGTACAAGTTTTACTACATGATGGTGATACATGGAAATATGGTATGTTAGTTGCATACATTACTAACATTTTGAACAAATATGCCACCTGCTGTTGTGGTAGCATTGAACTTGTTCCTACCAGTGAACTTAGGGATTGATAGCTCCTCTGAAATAGATATCGGATCATTTTTTGGAAGTTAAGATAAATTAAGGTGACAAAGATGGCTTTCCACTTCAACATGCCAAGAACTCATGTAAATGAAGCCCTAAATTTCAAACTCCTAGGGCGGTATCTTTACACATACAAAATACTGGATTTTATATGTGAGGTAAAACTGAATTAATGTAATTAAATTCTGCCACAACTTTTGAAGTTAAACATTCTGCTGACAGTATAAACATAGATGAAATGTAGCAATAATGACATAATAGCAGGGCTTAGAGAGTTAATCAATAGGACATAGAACAACATAGCTATAGAAATAGGACCACAAGAGTATCTAGTTGGCTTTTATTTAAACAATAACACAGAGCTGATTAAATATGAATAGAGAATCAGCAGCTGCTTTTCAAAAGGTGATAATTTGTTTATCTTGAAATAAAACAGAGACTTTGTGGTAGTTGAAATTTATTGAAGACAACAAAATTAATTACACGCTGCCTGTATTCAGTTTATGAGGTCACTGAACAAAAGCATGGATAGTCAGAAAACAAAATTAGAAATAGTTTTGAAAAGTGAAATGAATTGATTAGGTCTTTTGCTCATTGGAAAAATACTGGATTTAAGAATTTAAGACTTGTGTGCTGTTACCCCAGAATGTACTTTGCTGAGTCATGATAGTTGTTGTTGTTTGTTTAAAAGTGTTACGTTTCACTGACACTCAGTAACAGCATGTGGTGACTGGTGTTGCATGTTTTCAGCCTACACCAGAGATAGAGCTGAACCATTTCAGGCACCACCAGAAGATGAGGGTGAGTAGTGTGTGTCTAAAAAAAATTGTTTAAAAAGTTTTAAGGGTTTAGGTTTTTGTGTGGAATTTCCATGATTACCAAGGGGTTTCCAAGGCAGAAGGGTTCAAGGTTTTATGTTAATGATCTGAAGGTTATGATAGTGAGGAATTTAGAGATATGATATTGAAAACATTAGGGTAAAATAATGAGAAACTTAAAGGTATAATGGTGAAGAATTCAAAGGTATATTGATAAAGAACTTGATGGTATGATGTAAAGAATGTAAAGTTATGATGTTAAAAACTTTATGAGAAACGGTGTGTAGTGATGAGGAACTTTAGTGTATGATGGTGAGGAGCTTATAGAAAAAACTTATAGGTGTCATGCTGAGAAACAGTGTGTAGTGATGAGGAACTTTGGTGTATGACGGTGAGGAGCTTATAGAAGAAACTTATAGGTGTCATGCTGAGAAACAGTGTGTAGTGATGAGGAACTTTAGTGAATGATGGTGAGGAGCTTATAGAAGAAACTTATAGTTGTCATGCTGAGAAACAGTGTGTAGTGATGAGGAACTTTAGTGTATGACGGTGAGGAGCTTATAGAAGAAACTTATAGGTGTCATGCTGAGAAACAGTGTGTAGTGATAAGGAACTTGTGTGTATGATGGTGGGGAGCTTATAGGAGAAACTTATAAGTGTCATGCTGAGAAACAGTGTGTAGTGATGAGGAACTTTAGTGTATGATGGTGGGGAGCTTATAGGAGAAACTTATAAGTGTCATGCTGAGAAACAGTGTGTAGTGATAAGGAACTTGTGTGTATGATGGTGGGGAGCTTATAGAAGAAACTTATAAGTGTCATGCTGAGAAACAGTGTGTAGTGATGAGGAACTTTAGTGTATGATGGTGGGGAGCTTATAGGAGAAACTTATAAGTGTCATGCTGAGAAACAGTGTGTAGTGATAAGGAACTTGTGTGTATGATGGTGGGGAGCTTATAGAAGAAACTTATAAGTGTCATGCTGAGAAACAGTGTGTAGTGATGAGGAACTTTAGTGTATGATGGTGGGGAGCTTATAGGAGAAACTTATAAGTGTCATGCTGAGAAACAGTGTGTAGTGATGAGGAACTTGTGTGTATGATGGTGGGGAGCTTATAGGAGAAACTTATAAGTGTCATGCTGAGAAACAGTGTGTAGTGATGAGGAACTTTAGTGTATGATGGTGGGGAGCTTATAGGAGAAACTTATAAGTGTCATGCTGAGAAACAGTGTGTAGTGATGAGGAACTTTAGTGTATGATGGTGGGGAGCTTATAGGAGAAACTTATAGGTGTCATGCTGAGAAACAGTGTGTAGTGATGAGGAACTTATGTGTATGACAGTGAGGAGCTTATAGGGGAAACTTATAGGTGTCATGCTGAGAAACAGTTTGTAGTGATGAGGAACTTTAGTGTATGATGGTGGGGAGCTTACATTTATGAAGGTGATACCTTTCTTCAGTTTGCTGTGAATGACCGACTCGAGTCACCAGAGCAACCATAGTGTCTATTTCAGTCTGTATTGTGAAAGTATCAGGCTGGACAGATGTACTAAGAGTGGGACTGACTATAGATAGTTGTCTGTTATAAGTTTTAAAAAATGAATATTTAATAAAAGAATGATAAGTATATGGTCATGCAGTTATGATTTAGGATTTGGGTTATCTTCACAGCACTCAGGACATGTCCATAGGTGCTCAGATTTTCTCTTCAAAGTATACAGGTGTACCGTGGTTGATAGTCCCAGTCCTGTGATGGATGAGAAGACTTCTCATGCTTCCTGTTTGCTTCACGTTTCTGGCTGTGCATATCTTTACTATGAATTCTTGCACTCTTAGAAATGATGTGGGTGTGCTGCTCCCAAAATCCCTAAAATGTCCTACCTCTCTAATTAACAATATCGGCATGATCCATGGGCTGGCCCTCTGTAACTAAAGCAGAGCCGTCTAATCTGTCAGCTCTTTCATTGCAAACAACACCTGCATACCCTGGGACAAAGATGAAGGTATAACTCTACGCACAGCGGAGTTTTGCAATGACGCGATCAACTGTCTTCATACAAAGCCGGCCTCGACCCGCCGGATCATACTCATTGGCACCTTTCCGTCTTTTCAGACAATAGTGTTATATTGCGCTATGATATATATTATATGCGGCTTCATACAAAGCCGGCCTCGACCCGCCGGATCATACTCATTGGCACCTTTCCGTCTTTTTAGACAATAGTGTTATATTGCGCTATGATATATATTATATGCGGCTTCATACAAAGCCGGCCTTGACCCGCCGGATCATACTCATTGGCACCTTTCCGTCTTTTCAGACAATAGTGTTATATTGCACTATGAGGAGGCATGAGACTCACAGTCCATGGCAATGGCGAGTATGACTAGCAAGACCCGCCCGTGTCAAGAAAAGTCTTCCACAATGATAGCATAGGATTTCAGGACCATTGTTAACATTTGTGTTTAATCTGTTTCTTTTCAGACACTCAGCCTCATCCTTTCTGCTATCATTTCTTCCTTCAGTCTCATTCCCTTCCTCATTTGCCCTTTCCAAACAACACGGGCCATGGCATTTTGTTCCCATGAGTCCGCCTCAATACCTGTATCATTCATGTCTGCTTGCACACATCTTTATAGCGTAGTAGAGGTCGGCCTCGACATCTTCTTCGTCTTTAATTCACCATAAAGGATGTCCTTAGGGACTCTGCCATCCTCAATTCTTTAGGTGTGACCCAGCCACCTGAGCCTTCGTAGACTGAGCATGGAAAAGACTGTTGTAGTACCTGCTCTTTCCAGTACTTCAGTGTTTGTGATTTTGTCCTGCCACTTAATGTCAAGTAAATCACTCAGCATACACACATGAGAATATCCCTGTGATGCTAGCCACATGAAAGCTCATGTTACCACCATCACCTTCATTGTCATGCTGCTAGTAGTCATACTAAAGGCACCACTTGCCTCCTTGGCTGTTCTACCAGCAGAGCATGCAGTAAATGCCCAGGCACTTTTTTGTTCTCGTACAACGGAGCCATCTGTGTAGATCAGTACATCCGCATGCTCCAGTTCTAAATTTTCACATGTAAGTGCATGGATCTTTGCATTCACAGTAACTGGATTCTGCTCCAAACAGATTATGTCAAGCATGACAACACAGGAAAAGGTGCAGTTGAGTACCTGGGACACAGGTATCCATTCTTCGCCGAGGTTGATGTCTGTAAGACTGCCGACCTGTATGATATCTTCCTCTGTCCTACCAAGCCATGATTTGCTCCTTTTTAGCCTGTTGTCCTTTTTCCTAAAGAGAATATTGTGCAGAGGGTGTTTCAAATCCGAGCTTATCTTCAGGTATGCACCAATCCTCCAGATCTTCACCCTATTGTGCATTGTCAGAAAGTCAAGAAGATACCTCATTGCTACGCAAGAGGTATCTCTTGTGCACCCCAGAATAATGCGCTTGGCTTCATTTTGCACCTTTTCAATCTGAGTATTGTTGACGGTGAGTATAGTCAGAGCATATTCGATTGGAAAAAGAACCAGTCCCTGGAACAGTAGCAGAAGCAGTCTCTTCTCGTTGTTGGTGGTGGCCAGGACCATCATTGTTGATAAGCCCTTACAGGCCTTCCTTATAACATTGTCGACGTGATCTTTGAAGGACAGACTGCGATCAAACTTCACACCCAGATATGTCATCAGATGTGTTCTTTTTAAAGCTTTGTCACTAATTTCCAGCACTGGTAGGTCTGTCTTAACCATATACGTGTTCAAGGAAACCATGTTACTGGGGTTTTTGAAGGGTTGACATGGGCACTGGAGTCCACACACCAGAAGGAGATGCGATCAGATTCACTCTGCGTTGGTTTGACAATCTCATGACGCTATCATCTGCCACTCGCATTCAATTACTGGTTGGTTATTTGTAGTGTATGCACATTTAAAAGGACTGGGGACAGTGGAGAACCTTGAGGTAATCCGGGACAAATTGGGTCTGAGGACCAACAACCACACCAGAGCACTACCCAGATCATTCATCTGTGTGCTGCAGTGGGTGAGAGGGATCTGTTGACTTCAAGAGCTCTAGAAGCTGCAACAATTATGATGAATAAGAGGGAAATATTGTAAAATCTGTCCATGAATGAATGGTAATGGTAGTTTTTCTTTAACTCTTTATATCTCAGTGAAGCATAGGCCTTCAGCCAGCTGACACTAAGTCATCCTATCCTTTGCTATCACATGCAGCTCACCCCATGTTCTCCCTGTCTTTTATCTCTGCCGTATGATTCCCTTCTCAGTGTGTTTTTTGGTTCACTTTACTTGAGCTGTCTGATCTTGATGCATTGTCTAGGAATGGTGTTTGAGTAGATGAATCTGATGTTTTAAAAACTATAATGTTACGGAATCTGTCAGCATCATTAAAACATGCTGACATAGATGTAGTATCTATGGACTTGCCTGGAGTGTTGTGATGTGATTCTTTGAAGCTAATTTCCAAGATATAAAAAGTTATTCAAACCAACAAAACACATTATTGTCACTAACAGTCTTATTCATTAAAATTTTTATTTTTTGAACATCACTAAATAAAAAAAAAATAATTTTTAAATTAAGTTTCAAAAGAGTCGCACAACAGGTTGTCAGACTGCTATTATCAGACTATTTACTGGCTGTATAAACAAATTACAGCTGCTTAGATTTTACGTTTTGCACTGTATATTAATAAAATTGAACAATTTATGTTTGTGTATTACATTTAGTTGTTGTTGCCATTTTATAACTGTGACCTACATCCTTGCTTGAATCTTGGATGGGTCAGACTGAGGACATTATTGAACAGGTTTGCTCAGCTGAGGACATAGAACCTGGTGAGGAATGGGTCAGACTGAGGACTTTATTGAACAGGTTTGCTCAGTTGGGGACGTAGAACCTGGTGAAGAAGGGTCAGACTGAGGACATTATTGAACAGGTTTGCTCAGCTGAGGACGTAGAACCTGGTGAGGAAGGAGTCTGACTGAGGACATTATTGAACAGGTTTGCTCAGTTGAGGATGTAGAACCTGGTGAGGAATGGGTCAGAAAGGACATTATTGAACAGGTTTGCTCGGCTCAGCTGAGGACGTAGAACCTGGTGAGGAATGGGTCAGACTGAGGACATTATTGAACAGGTTTGCTCAGTTGAGGATGTAGAACCTGGTGAGGAATGGGTCAGACTGAGGACATTTTTGAACAGGTTTGTTCAGTTGAGGACGTAGAACCTGGTGAGGAATGGGTCAGACTGAGGACATTATTGAACAGGTTTGCTCAGCTGAGGACATAGAACCTGGTGAGGAATGGGTCAGACTGAGGACATTATTGAACAGGTCCGCTCAGCTGAGGACATAGAACCCGGTGAGGAATGGGTCAGACTGAGGACATTATTGAACAGGTTTGCTCAGTTGAGGACATAGAACCTGGTGAGGAATGGGTCAGACTGAGGACATTATTGAACAGGTTTGCTCAGTTGAGGTTGTAGAACATGGTGAGGAATGGGTCAGACTGAGGACATTACTGAACAGGTTTGCTCAGCTGAGGACATAGAACCTGGTAAGGAATGGGTCAGACTGAGGACATTATTGAACAGGTTTGCTCAGTTGAGGATGTAGAACCTGGTGAGGAATAGGTCAGACTGAGGACATTATTGAACAGGTTTGCTCAGTTGAGGATGTAGAACCTGGTGAGGAATGGGTCAGAAAGGACATTATTGAACAGGTTTGCTCGGCTCAGCTGAGGACGTAGAACCTGGTGAGGAATGGGTCAGACTGAGGACATTATTGAACAGGTTTGCTCAGTTGAGGATGTAGAACCTGGTGAGGAATGGGTCAGACTGCGGACATTTTTGAACAGGTTTGTTCAGTTGAGGACGTAGAACCTGGTGAGGAATGGGTCAGACTGAGGACATTATTGAACAGGTTTGCTCAGCTGAGGACATAGAACCTGGTGAGGAATGGGTCAGACTGAGGACATTATTGAACAGGTCCGCTCAGCTGAGGACATAGAACCCGGTGAGGAATGGGTCAGACTGAGGACATTATTGAACAGGTTTGCTCAGTTGAGGACATAGAACCTGGTGAGGAATGGGTCAGACTGAGGACATTATTGAACAGGTTTGCTCAGTTGAGGTTGTAGAACATGGTGAGGAATGGGTCAGACTGAGGACATTACTGAACAGGTTTGCTCAGCTGAGGACATAGAACCTGGTAAGGAATGGGTCAGACTGAGGACATTATTGAACAGGTTTGCTCAGTTGAGGATGTAGAACCTGGTGAGGAATGGGTCGGAGTGAGAACATTATTGAACAGGTCCGCTCAGCTGAGGATGTAGAACCTGGTGAGGAATGGGTCCGAGTGCCAGCAGAGTGGTCCTTTTTAGTCTGCATTAAACTGCTCAGAAACTGCAGACAACTAAAGCTATTGGTGGTTGAGGCCAAAGTTCAGGCCTTAATTCTTGAGAAATCTGCAAATGGAGGTGCCATTATTTATACAAACGGATCCATAGTTTGACACGTACAAAGTTCTTAGGCTTTCACAGTTCTGGTTTGGGGGAGAACAGTAAAAGAAGACAGGAATGCTTTTGCCTCGACTACAAGTAGTCTGACCATAGAGGTGATGGCAGTAACAAAAGCAATGATGTGGGTAGAGACACAGCAGTTTTCCCATGTTTGCTTTCTAAATCATTCCATGAGCATGCTTAAGAAGACTGAGACAGTTTGAAGAAGTGGTTGGAGTCACTGAGAAAATCACATCTGGCAGGAATTAAATGACAGTGAAATATATAGTAGAGACAGCATTGCAGATATAGTTAATTTATTTCAAGCGAACGAAAGAAGAAGAAAGTTTCATTTTTGTACCAGGGTACTCTGGGGAAAGAGGGAATGAATGAGCAGATTGGCTTGCTGGTGGGGCCATGGTAACTAAGGACAAGCAATGGACCGGGCTGATGTTCTCAATGCTCTAAAGCAGGAGGGAGAAGTAAATTATTCTAAGGAGGACGCTGAGTCTACAGCATTCAAAAGACTACAAGAACTTCAGGTCAAAAAGATATATTACCAGACATGAACACTGTACAGGCAGCAAACGAAGAGAAGTAAACGGACACAGAACTGGTGTTATCAGTGGCCACACACTGAGGGATATACTGAAGATGGGATTTGAGTGCTTATGAACGTGTCCAGTGTGTAGTGAGGTTCATCTGTTGATTCAATGACAATCTTTGCTTTTGTTTCTGTTGCTTGCGTTTATATTGTCTTTTTTTGTGTGGGTAAGAGCAGATGTGATAATTTTATTTTATTTATTATTTAAAATTGGTTTTATGACAAGGCTTATTCGTTTAAAAAAAAAAAAAAAATTTCAGTTTGTTTAATTGATAGTGAAGAGCTTTTTTAAAATTTTTACCCTGATTATTTATATTTGAAATTGAACATAAAATTGGTGGATTGCACTGTTTACAAACATTTGCTGAAATCTTTGATGAGTCTAGACTTGTTTGCTAGGTGAATTAAGTACATTTCTGTATAATTTGTGAGGTTCATTTAATATATGGTCTTTTGTTTCTTTTTAATTTGGCAATATTGTCATGCTAAGCTTTGTTTCTTTTTAATTTGGCAATATTTAATGCTAAGCAACCTTTTTTTAAAGTGAGGCAATTTTTTATTTTCATGCAAAACAAGTTTTATAAACTGTCCTTGATGTTTGGGAAAGTGCAGTATAGGACAGACTAATCTTGTCCAACTGCTCAAGTGGCAAACAGCTGTTTAATTGTAATGTTACACTTATTTTTACTGCCAGCTGTGTAAAGTGGTTCACATCTGATTGAATATACAATTTGCTATTGGAGTTTCAGCTGACAGAAAATAATGTATTTTTTTTTTAAATTTAACAAATGTATTTTAGGCTTTTAAAAAAATTATTGGTTTGGGGCTTATGAACACATTTTTATTACTCGGTATACCATTGTTTGAAGTCAGCTGCAGAAACTAGGCAGCAGACACATTTGTGATAAATTCAACAATGATATTAGCCTTAACTGTTTAGAAGGCAGTGGCAAACTACTAACTGTGTAAATTAGAACATTAGATACATCCTCTTATGATAACTAGCAGTATCTATGATTTCAGAAACGGTCAAAGCGTCAAACTTCCAACCCGCTCCAGTGAGAAAGGAAATATCACCACCATCTGCTAAACCTTTATTACAGTTACAGAAGGTTGACAAAGCCTCTATCCAAGCAGAAGATTTTTTACCTGTAAGCCTGTTGTTTAAAACAAAACTGTCAATGTGTATAATCTGAGAAGATGCCGTGTGTGATTCTTTACAGCTGTCTGACTGACATAGGTTTGTGCTACTGATGGCTTTTAGTAAAGTATATAGCTCGCCTGATTACAATATAAATATTGAGGATGAGTGCATGCATTAGTTAGTTCATTTGTGTGACTACAATACTGGGTAGCTACATCAAAGTACAGTGTGACTTCTGTAACTTTATTTGTATAATCTCACAATTTGATTTCAAAGATATTTTGTAATTGTATTAACTAATGATAGAATTTAATAGTGTATTAACTTTTAGTCTTTGTCACACCCCCCCCCCCCCCCCCACCCCCCCCCATTTTAGGACTGAATGTTTATTTGTTCGCTTATATTTTAATATTGACAATAGAAGCAAAAAGCTGTGGATGAATTATCTGAGAGAGATGTGGTTGACGTGTTGGGCACAGGACATAATACAATGATCGCTGTTCTGGAGCAGAGGACCAGAAATCTGCAACTTGTCTTAACCATGTGGAGATCAGGAAGTACCAAGGTAATTTCAGTTTAAAAAAAAAATATATAATTGACGTTGTGTAGTATGCTTGCTCTAAATAAGACAGTGATATAGGGTTTAATTGTTAGTGGCATTCATTGATCTTCTCTGATCATCTCTTGCTAGGTAAAAGCCTCTCAACTGTCACTAATGTCTGTGTTTACCACTTTTCAGAATGCAGAACATTGTATAGAATATGAGATGTACATTATGCTGAACAGGTACTGTAAAAATGTAGAGACGTGTCATGTGAAAATTAAGTTACCTTTGTCAGAAGGAAAGCCAACATTCTTTTGCATATATCTTACTGTCATTTGGTCTCTCAGATCTAAAGAACAAGGTATAATTTCTATTAGGGCACAAACTTTTATCCTGCAGATAACTTGTTGGAAGCAAACCTCACTTGCAAATGGCAAGAAGTGAGTTTAACTGATCCTCAACACAGTGTTTCTAACAGACATTCCGTAATAGTGCTACAAGAATTTGTGAATGATCATAGATAATTGAGGTTGATAAATTTGGTGTTTACCTGTCTTTGTTCACAGACAGCAATTGATTCAACCATTAGTATGAAGGATCCTGCAGTCATGGTTGATATCCTCAATATTATCAACACAAAACCGTAAGTCTGCAATGTGAGAATTTATGTGAACATATATGGGACTGGGCTTTTGAATGGTTGATTCCTTCTTTCCCAGATAGTTGTGACATCCTTCTTTTCCAGATAGTGTTGACATCCTTCTTTCCCAGATTGTTGTGACATCCTTCTTTCCCAGATTGTTGTGAAATCCTTCTTTCCCAGATAGTTGTGACATCTTTCTTTCCCAAATAGTGTTGACATCTTTCTTTCCCAGATAGTTGTGACATCCTTCTTTCCCAGATAGTGTTGACATCTTTCTTTCCCAGATTGTTGTGACATCTTTCTTTCCCAGATAGTTGTGACATCCTTCTTTTCCAGATAGTGTTGACATCCTTCTTTTCCAGATAGTGTTGACATCCTTCTTTCCCAGATTGTTGTGACATCCTTCTTTCCCAGATTCTTGTGACATCCTTCTTTCCAAGATTCTTGTGACATCCTTCTTTCCCAGATAGTTGTGACATCCATCTTTCCCAGATAGTGTTGACATCTTTCTTTCCCAGATAGTTGTGACATCCTTCTTTCCCAGATAGTGTTGACATCTTTCTTTCCCAGATAGTTGTGACATCCTTCTTTCCCAGATAGTGTTGACATCTTTCTTTCCCAGATTGTTGGGACATCCTTCTTTCCCAGATAGTTGTGACATCCTTCTTTTCCAGATAGTGTTGACATCCTTCTTTCCCAGATTGTTGTGACATCCTTCTTTACCAGATAGTTGTGACATCCTTCTTTCCCAGATAGTTGTGATATCCTTCTTTCCCAGATTGTTGTGACATCCTTCTTTCCCAGACAGTTGTGACATCTTTCTTTCCCAGATAGTTGTGACATCTTTCTTTCCCAGATAGTTGTGACATCCTTCTTTCCCAGATAGTTGTGACACCTTTCTTTCCCAGATAGTTGTGACATCCTTCTTTCCCAGATAGTTGTGACATCCTTCTTTCTAAGATAGTTGTGATATCCTTCTTTCCAAGATAGTTGTGGCATTCATCTTTCCAAGATAGTTGTGACATTCTTCTCTCCAAGATAACTGTGACATCATTTTCTCCAAGATAGTTGTGACATACTTCTTTCCAAGATAGTTGTGACATCCTTCTTTCCCAGATAGTTGTGACATCCTTCTTTCCAAGATAGTTGTCACATCCTTTTTCCCAGATAGTTGTCACATCCTTCTTTCTATGATAGTTGTCACATCCTTCTTTCTACGATAGTTGTCACATCCTTCTTTCCAAGATAGTTGTGACATCAGCTCTGTCCTGGTTTCTTACATTTAGTTACTTTATAAATCTCTTTTAATCAACACAAAATAGCTAGCTTGAGCAGAAAATGTTAATGTAAGCTGGTATTATATTAACATGTTTCTGTCAAATGTCTGTACATATCAGCTTGAACAACATCATGACTACAGAATGTTGGCCATAAGTGTGCTCTATTCATGACCATGTGTATCTCTCCCCCTTCCTCATTTCTATGTAGATCTCCTCCTTCCTCTTTGTTTACTGGCTGTAAGCTGTCATGGAAAGTCCTGGTTGTTTGTCCATGTGGACTTTGGCTTTGTGCCAGGGCCTGAGTTTTGCATGTATATCCGTTTTACTGACTTATTTGTGTGCTCTGGCAGATGCACTCTGACTTTAAAGAAAGTCCCCAATTATTAGACTCTTACAACATATGTTGGGGAGGCAGTGGGTCTGTTTTTGTTTTCCCACATTGGAATCCCGAAAACTACATGGGGAGTTTCCCTGCAGATTACATTTTTAAATATCTTCATCATTGTCCATTCCCATCATTGATGTATCTTCATAATTTGCCAGCTTCAGGTGTTTTCATGCAGCAACTTTTAAAACATGTTAGAAGGAGCTGTTACAGACTATTAAATGCTCAGATGGACAATAGCCTAGGAAAGAGAAAGGAAACAAGAGCTGAGTCTAATAAAGTACATAGTTTGTTTAAACAATTTGAACTTCAGAATGCTGGAGAAGAAACAACTAAATATTAACATGGTGAACAGTTATTGCTTGTTGGTTTTTATTCATTTGGAATTCAAGTATACAGTGAATATATAATTGTGGTTGGTGGTCACAGTATAAACAATTACGTTATGCTGATGACAGTCTTGATAGCAACAAGTCAAAAAGAACTGCAGGAAATGATAGACATTGTGGTGTTAGAAAGTGGAAGAACGGGCCTCAGTTTGAATAATGAGAAGACAAGTAATGGTGGTATCAAAGAAACGAAATATTCCTAAGTGTGTAATAAAAGTTGATGGTGTTATTTTAGGACAAGTACAGAAATTTAAGTATCTGGGCACATGGATAACATCAGATGGAAGATGCATAACTGAGATAAGAAATAGAATAGGACAGGCAAAAACTGCATTTTATCAAATGTAAAACATCTTGTGCAATATATCCTTGTCAATGAGAGTTAGAAAAAGAATTCTTGCTTGCTACATACATCCAGTTTTAACATATGGCTGTGAATCCTGGACAATCGGTAGGCAGGCCAAACAATTTCTGGAGGCCTCGGAGATGTGGTTTTACAGAAGAATGCTTAGAATACCTTGGACAGCCAAAAAGAGCAACCAAGAGGTTTTGAAAGAGGCGAGAGCCCGAAGACAACTTATCACAGATATCAGAAGGAGACAGTCATCATTTTTCGGCCATGTTATGAGAAGAGGGAAAATAGAACATGTTGTGACCACTGGAAAGATATGTGGATGGAGAGATAGAGGAAGACAACGAGAGAAGATGCTTGACAGTCTTGTTGCATGGCATGGAGGTGTGTCGGCACACGAACTGATACATGCTGCAGGAGATCGCGGATTATGGAGAGGCATGATCGCCCACGCCAGTCGGCAAGACACCTGATGATGATGATGATGATGATATATATATATATTTATATTTAGCCTGAGTTTTTCGTTAAACATTATGCAGATTATGCTAAGCTTCTACATCAGCGGTGAAATTATTTTAAATGTGCTGTTCCGATTGATGCAGAATGGATACCATTGAAAGTTTTTAGATGATTGCCATCTCACCATTTTCTTTTGCATGAACCCTTTCGCTGCTATGGACATATTTAGACGTTTACCCATAAACTGCGAAGGACATCTTTGTGCATCTTCTGGTTTTTGTGCACTTACTGTTATTTACGTAAAAGCATGATTTCGACTTTCCTTGCAGACTGTAAGGACCGTGATTCTCGGGGGTCAATGGCAATACACATTAGCCATATTCAGATTCAGTTGACCAATTTACCTATGATTAAATACCCTTTCACATGCATTCCGCATTGTGCTGTTTCTTTGTTTATCATGGCAGCAAGGTCATTGAACCGTTGTTTTTTAACCCTAAAATATATTGGTAGTTTTTGCATTAGTCTACATGTCCCAATGATCAGCAAGAGAATATGGCCACACACTGACATGATGGATTAAAATTATCATCTATACTATACAACAGGCAATACTTGTGTCTGTCTGTCACACTGTACAATACTGATCTTATTTTCACTGGCTACTATCTTATGATTTTCTAGTGTATCACATCAATTTTAGCACTTTCAGCAACAGTTGACCCAAGTGTTAAAAAAAATATATACTTTTTATATAAAAGTAAAACCGGGTGACTACAATTAATTATGATTGAAATGGGAGCCTCAGTAGATTCAGTGATGACATTTGGGGGGGGGGGGGGGGGGGGGGGCGATCCCAACAGTCCGAGTTGTAACTCACGGCCCAGATTGAAGTGGTAGGAACTTCCTAAAACAGTTCTTCCCATCAGTGGTTGACCCCCCGGACACCTTTTTTTCCTTTGGGGGTTAGGGGACTGTAGCCTCATCCATCATGTTTGTGGGGCAGTGGAACAGGCCTCAGATACACTTAGGGGCAATGACTAAGGGCAGTGACTAAACATCTAGTAGCATTGTCTAGGGGCAAAAATTTTAAACAAATATTCCTTGTGACAGTCAGAAGGCTACTTCTGTGCTCGCTGCTTCGTTGAGTATCTGCTACATATACGGAAGCAGTAGAGACAACAATGAAATAGAATTAGTCGAGCATTTGCATTTTCTTTCACTATTCTGGGTAATTAAATCTAGTTTATAGTATTTTCTTTCTGTAAAGGCAAGTTTTCTTACCGTCACTGTAGTGCGCCTGACTTGTCAGCACTCGGGGCAACCACCCACCACCTTAGGGTGTACAAAATATAGCTAGCACTGCTGAGTCAACTTTTGCATTTTGACGATAGAAACATAGAAACGTATTCAGCACATCTTGAAGTCAAAGACACTCAGCAAACACACAAAACTTAAAATCTTCAACTCTTGTATGATTCCAGTGCTAACTTATGGCTATGAAAGTTGGAAAGCAACGGTAGCTCTAGATAAAAAAAAAATAGACAGTTTTGAGAACAAATGTCTTAGTAGAGTACTAAATCTCCATTGGACAGATTTCACAAATAAGACAAGAGACCAAACAAGATATTGTATTCATTTTTATAAGAAAGCGCCGCTGGAACTTCATTGGACATGCACTCAAAATGGATAAGACAAGACTTCCTCATTAAACACTCATATGGCACTGGAAGAGAAACAAAAATGGGGAAGACCAAGAACTATCATCCGGTAAGGCTCAACCATGGGCCTAACAAACATACAAGACCTAAGGCAGGTGGCAACGAACTGCCAGACATGGAGAGCTATGACTTCTGCCCTAGGCTCAAGAGGAGAGACTAACTAACTGACTAATAGTACCAGTAGCAGCCAACTGTTGCCTGTAGCTGCTAAACTCCTTGTTGTCCTATAGAACCTGTTTGCAAGAATATCATCTGCAAATGTCCGTATCTTTTCAAAAGCAGGTTATTAATTTAGATTAAATTCCAACTTGACTGTCTTAACAGTAGCACTAAAAACAAAACAAAAAGACAGACATTTTTTAAAATTAAATCGTGAATAATATATTTGTTTGTGCTGAATATAAAGTTTTTGGAGAACTTTTGGAATTCAGAGTTCTTCTGTGTTCGACATCAGTCATGCTAAACATTGAGTCCCGTCTGGGTCACAAATAGGATTGTGTGTTTAAGGTCGCCACCGGTCCCCCATAGCTTCTCTTTCAATGTGGCTCCCTTGGGCCAGATCCACAGTCTTTGCTGGGAGAGGTAAGGGCAGTACTGCAGCATGTACCCAGGGGTCTGTTTTTCTGCTCACAATCACAGGCAGCAGATTCTTGTATCCCTATCCTGTACAGGTGTGCTCAAAGACCACAATGTCCAGTCCGAAGTCTAAAAATTGTGTTTGTTCTTTCCTTTTAATTTTAATTTTGAAATTCAGAGTGATATTTGGTTTGTTATTCAGATCTCTGTGGGACCTGGATTTATGTAAACTGCTGTTACCTCAGCTCAGAGATCTAATGGGCAGCAAATATGAAAGGTAAGATGTCCCAAATAACTGAACTGTCATTGTTCTTTCCAGCTGATCCTGTGGCTTGGGAACTGCGTTTATTGTTTTCTGATGACCCTGTGGCTTGGGAACTGTGTTTATTGTTTTCTGATGACCCTGTGGCTTGGGAACTGTGTTTATTGTTTTCTGATGACCCTGTGGCTTGGGAACTGTGTTTATTGTTTCCTGCTGATCCTGTGGCTTGGGAACTGTGTTTATTGTTTCCTGCTGATCTTGTGGCTTGGGAACTGTGTTTATTGTTTTCTGATGACCCTGTGGCTTGGGAACTGTGTTTATTGTTTTCTGATGACCCTGTGGCTTGGGAACTGTGTTTATTGTTTCCTGCTGATCCTGTGGCTTGGGAACTGCGTTTATTGTTTTCTGATGACCCTGTGGCTTGGGAACTGTGTTTATTGTTTCCTGCTAATCCTGTGGCTTGGGAACTGTGTTTATTGATTCTTGCTAATCCTGTGGCTTAGGAACTGCGTTTATTGTTTCCTGATGATCTTGTGGCTTGGGAACTGTGTTTATTGTTTCCTGATGATCTTGTGGCTTGGGAACTGCGTTTATTGTTTCCTGATGATCTTGTCGCTTGGCAACTGTGTTTATTGTTTCCTGATGATCTTGTGGCTTGGGAACTGCGTTTATTGTTTCCTGATGATCTTGTCGCTTGGCAACTGTGTTTATTGTTTCCTGCTGATCCTGTTGGTTTGGGAACTGTGTTTATTGATTCTTGCTGATCCTGTGGCTTGGGAACTGTGTTTATTGTTTCCTGCTGACCCTGTGGCTTGGGAACTGTGTTTATTGTTTCCTGCTGATCCTGTGGCTTGGGAACTGCATTTATTGTTTCCTGCTGACCCTGTGGCTTGGGAACTGTGTTTATTGTTTCCTACTGATCCCATGGCTTGGGAACTGTGTTTATTGTTTCCTGCTGATCCTGTGGCCTGGGAACTGCGTTTATTGTTTCCTGCTGACCCTGTGGCTTGGGAACTGTGTTTATTGTTTCCTGCTGATCCTGTGGCTTGGGGACTGCATTTATTGTTTCCTGCTGACCCTGTGGCTTGGGAACTGTGTTTATTGTTTCCTACTGATCCCATGGCTTGGGAACTGTGTTTATTGTTTCCTGCTGATCCTGTGGCCTGGGAACTGCGTTTATTGTTTCCTGCTGACCCTGTGGCTTTGGAACTGTGTTTATTGTTTCCTGATGACCCTGTGGCTTGGGAACTGTATTTATTGTTTCCTGCTGACCCTGTGGCTTGGGAACTGTGTTTATTGTTTCCTGCTGACCCTGTGGCCTGGGAATTGTGTTTATTCTTTCCTGCTGACCCTGTGGCTTGGGAACTGTGTTTATTGTTTCCTGATGACCCTGTGGCTTGGGAATTGCGTTTATTGTTTCCTGCTGATCCTGTGGCCTGGGAACTGTGTTTATTGTTTCCTGCTGATCCCATGGCTTGGGAACTGTGTTTATTGTTTCCTGCTGATCCTGTGGCTTGGGAACTGTGTTTATTGTTTCCTGCTGATCCCATGGCTTGGGAACTGCGTTTATTGTTTCCTGCTGATCCTGTGGCCTGGGAACTGCGTTTATTGTTTCCTGCTGACCCTGTGGCTTGGGAACTGTGTTTATTGTTTCCTGCTGACCCTGTGGCTTGGGAACTGTGTTTATTGTTTCTTGCTGATCCCATGGCTTGGGAACTGTGTTTATTGTTTACTGCTGACCCTGTGGCTTGGGAACTGAGTTTATTGTTTCCTGCTGATCTTGTGGCTTGGGAACTGTGTTTATTGTTTCCTGCTGATCTTGTGGCCTGGGAACTGCATTTATTGTTTCCTGATGACCCTGTGGCCTGGGAACTGCGTTTATTGTTTCCTGCTGATCCTGTGGCCTGGGAACTGCGTTTATTGTTTCCTGCTGACCCTGTGGCCTGGGAACTGTGTTTATTGTTTCCTGCTGACCCTGTGGCTTGGGAACTGTGTTTATTCTTTCCTGCTGACACTGTGGCTTGGGAACTGTGTTTATTCTTTCCTGCTGACACTGTGGCTTGGGAACTGTGTTTATTCTTTCCTGCTGATCTTGTGGCTTGGGAACTGTGCTTATTGTCCAGGTTTAAGATGTCTTAGTAAGTAGAGGGCTATCTTCTATTTAAGACTATGATAGTTGCTCATCAACCTTGACAGAAGCAGGCTGGCCTGCCTAACACTGCTTAGCCATGATCACTAAAAAACGAAAAATTTTATATATTTATTATTTATATTATTTGCAATGAAAGGAAAGACAGGACACAAAACATTAATTAGCTTTCATCATAGAGCGACACACAGTCAAGAACTGATTGCAGTAAAATAATAATGTCCGCTAAAATTGTTCAACTATAAGTCAAAAACATAACAATATATTTTGTGCTTTATAATGGATTTCAAAGTGGTTCAGTGTCTCTGTCAGATTTCAAAGTGGTGCAGTGTCTCTGCCAGATTTCAAAGTGGTGCAGTGTCTCTGTCAGATTTCAAAGTTGTGCAGTGTCTCTGCCAGATTTCAAAGGGGTGCAGTGTCTCTGTCAGATTTCAAAGTAGTGCATGGTCTCTGCCAGATTTCAAAGTGGTGCAGTGTCTCTGTCAGATTTCAAAGTAGTGCGGTGTCTCTGTCAGATTTCAAAGTGGTGCATGGTCTCTGCCAGATTTCAAAGTGGTGCATGGTCTCTGCCAGATTTCAAAGTGGTGCAGTGTCTCTGTCAGATTTCAAAGTGGTGCATGGTCTCTGCCAGATTTCATAGTGGTGCACGGCCTCTGCCAGATTTACTCTATGCAAGATACATCCAGCTGCAGGTTCAGATCATAGTTTTCTCTTATTTTAATATTTAAAAAATACCTGACCAGAAATGAGTAAAAATGTGCCCTACGTGATTGCTAGGATTGAACAAAGTATGGTGTGGCCTTCTGCCACAGGGCCACTATGGTGGCCATGAAGATAATCCTGGGTCGTCTCCAAGTGTCCTGGCAAGCTGGGCTGTGGTGATGTTGTGTGAGGCCTAGCAAATTGGCAGTGGATTTATTATAACCACAGAGAATACAGTGAGATATAAACGGACTGATCAAACAGTATTCAATCATGGCAATGTTAAAAGTACAACTGTACAGTGTTGTCTTTTGTCAATGTGGCCAGAAGAGCAAGTAGCAGAACTTATCATTTTCCTCTACACCTGAAGCCGTAAATGAGGAAGAAGAAGAAGATCATTTGTAGATAGAATACAAAGAACATTACTGGTACAGAGTGTTCCATTAAAAACAATCTTTGTTCAGAAGTTTTTCCTTTTTTTTTTTTCTTTTTCTAACAGTCATTTTGTCACAGCTGCCAGTTCTGTGAAGTTGATATTGAGAAATTTTGGTGATGTTATTAAAGTCAATATGGAGGAACCACCTTCATCATATGTAGATATTACACGAGAAGAAAGGTAGGTGGTTCTGCTACATTATAAGCACATTTATAGGCACATTTTTAAAAGGCTCAAATGTTATGAATGATAGTCAATATTCCAGTTGTTGAAAACAAATGAAACACTATAAACACATTTATAGGCACATTTGTGAAAGGCTCAAACGTTATGTATGATAGTCAGTATTCCAGTTGTTAAAAACAAATGAAACACTAGGGCATGTTGCAGGAAACCTCTCAGTGGTGTGACTACATGTTCAAAAATTAATCCTGATAAAGTAAGTGCAATGTGTTTTTCTCTAAATAACTCCATAGTAGAAGTTCATAACACTTGATTGCAGCTGGTCTTAACAGATATACCCTGTACAAATAAAGTGTTGATTGGTGGCATTAAAAAACAAGTCATATGTGTAGTAGAGATGTACAATCAGCTATATATGCAATTAACTATGTCCTTGGCCATGGGTCTGAATCTGGAATGTATTTGAAATGAAAACTTAAGTTAGTTAGTTGTGTATCCTTTACGGGACATTGCAGAACCAACTCCAGCATTTTTTTGGGCTGTTGTGGTATTTCGGTAGGCAGGCCAAACAATTTTTAGAGGCCTCAGAGATGTGGTTTTACAGAAGAATGCTTAGAATACCTTGGACAGCCAAAAAGAGCAACCAAGAGGTTTTGAAAGAGGCGGGAGACCGAAGACAACTTATCACTGACATCAGAGGGAGACAGTCATCATTTTTCGGCCATGTTATGAGAAGAGGGAAAATAGAACATGTTGTGACCACTGGAAAGATCTGTGGAAGGAGGGATAGAGGAAGACAACGAGAGAAGATGCTTGACAGTCTTGTTGCATGGCATGGAGGTGTGTCGGCACACGAACTGATACATGCTGCAGGAGATCGCGGATTATGGAGAGGCATGATCGCCCACGCCAGTCGGCAGGGCACCTGACGATGATGATGATGATGATGTGGTATTTCTAGGCAAATTTTACATTCTTTCATTGCTTTCTGAACAGTCAGCACTCAGTACCACTGTCGAAACCAATGCAAGACAGACCGTCTGCAGCTGGGATCAAACCCGGCACTTCGGCATTGTGAAGCTCATTCGCAATGCTTTAGCCACAGATGCACGCCAACATTTGAAATGAAACAGTGAGATTTATCTCGGGATGCCCCCCCCCCCCCCCCCCTTCCCCATCCACAATTGCATTAATGAAGTAAAATGCTGGACTTCTCTCTGTCCACTAGCCCAGACTAGTACCAGTATGGAGGCAGCTACTGACAAACACCATCCTCTAGATTCATATATATAGTCCTCACAGGGAGAGCAAAGTGAGTCTCGTCACTGATGCATATCTTGATTGAGCTTCTTATTCTTCTTTGCGTTCCGTTTCATATTTTGAGATCAGACCATCAGATGGGTTGCCTCTGAACTCGCATGTCAGCAGCAGTTCCTTAATGGGTCCCCATAGCTTGCTCTGCACACTTTGCTCTTGAGGCCAGGTGTCTTTTCAAAGTTGTAGGTAGAGTTGGCAGGTCTGCAGAATATGCTCAGTGTTTGTAGTCCTGATAAGCACAGTCTTTATTTTATGCTCATGGTAGTTGAGGCCGCAGTGTCCTGTTTGTAGATGGAAAATTGTTGTATATTGCTTTCTGTTGAGTCTGCTGATGGTGGGTCTTGTGGATGTTTACTATTGGTTTGTTCTCTCCACAATTTTTTGTATTTAACCTTGATGAGTGTTTTGATTTCTTGTAGCAGTAATGGGTGGGTGTGTTGTTTCTCCTTTGTTGCATTTTTTGCAAGTCTGTCTGCTAACTCATTTCCTGGTATGTCGCAGTGAGCTTGGATCCACTAGTTTTCACAGAGAAAGAACAAAGTGAGTCTGGTCACGTACGGCATATCTTCATTGAGCAAAACAGGTTACACAGCAGACTGTCACTTATACAGACTAGAATTGGTTCACTCACCATGTGCACATATAGACAAATAAAACAGACAGAACATATGCTACAAGGCTGCCATATGCACTTCCTATGGCAGTCCGCAGTGATACATATTTGCACAAAGCTGTTTGGGAGTGTCAGCAAATTCTCACTTACTGTCAAATAAAGCCAGTAAATATTTCATTTTTATATACCTGGTGTATTATTTTTAAAGTTTTTATATTGAAAATTTAGTTTTGAGCAATCTTTTCTGCATTCGCTGGATGTAAACAGTGGAAAGTTCTGGTTATTCATCCACTTTTGGGCTTTATTTTTTGTTATGGAACTTGAGTGTTGCATGCACATCCATTTTACAGATCTGGCTTATTTGTATGCAGACTTTTGGTTCCTTGCCTCTCAGGCAGCTGCTCTCTGACTTCAAAGGCAGCCCCCAATAAGTTGACTGACATACTCAGGGAGACAGTGAGTTTATTCTTGTTTGCCTACAAGGTGTCCTCGTAATTCACACAGGAAATATCAGCAGTGGACATGGTTGGCTGACTGCCTAGCTAACTGAGTGAATAAGTGCAGCTTTAATAAAGTAAGCAAAAAAGATATGTGCACAGTTCTTCACTTGATAATGTTTATTTATTCAAGTAAGCAAGGTTTGACTATTTATACAACACATGCATGGTTGATTTTCTTACAGACACAAGAAGTGCCTTGACTGCTTCAATGTCCTTAGTTCCATCAAAGCCATGATCAGATCAGCACAGCCAGTAGCTACAGCGAAGCAAGCCAGCATCTTTAAAGAGATCATGTTGTTAATGGCACGTTTGGAATGAGAACATTACTACACTAGTTTATGAACTTCAATGTTCATTTCCAGAACAAGGAAACATAGCATGCCCCACACACTGTGTATTTGACTACTGATGAGACGTTCAGTTTGACTCCCATTCCTTCTGTTTTATGAACATCATTTCCCACATTGTGTCTGTTGGCTGTTTATCCCAACCACTGTTTGATACAGCTTATATCTCCAAGTTTGTCAACATTACTTCCCTCGTTAACCCGTGCTGTGCTCCTTTAATTCATTCATTCAACATAAAACAGTGACCAAGACCAAGCCTTTTAATTATCTGAACTCATTCCATACGAAGCAGCTCGTGTACACTTTATGTTCATTTGCTGCTTTGTACATCACTAATTTTTCTGTATACAATTTAGGTCATAAATACATGCTGTAGAACCACATTTTTGTTCATTTTAGCTTTTTTTTTTTGGTATGTGGGTGCAACTAGTAGGAAAGTCTTTAATTAAAAAGAGTATTAAAAGCAATGGTTTTAAACATCATTAAAAATAGCCTTTTCCCCCAATATAAAACCTGTTCAGCCATCTGAAGTGACTTTCAATGCAATATAAATTAAAAATGGCTGTCATTTTAACTATCTTGTTTAGAAAATCTATGGGGAAAACATGATCCGCACATGGGGATTTATTGACAATAGAGTGAATGTAAGCGGTAAGTAATCCTTGGTGTGTTTGCTGTACAAGTACATGATCACAGTATTCTAGTGTATTGACTATTGGATGAGTTGTCCCACAGTTCTTGTTCTTCATTGTATGTTGTGATGTTTATAAATGCTTTCTGTTGCAAATATTGAGTGAATATGGACAACTGAAAGGAAAGTGTAACATAATGAACTGCCTTTTATGTGATCTGTAAACTCATACCTAAATTCAATTACTGGTTTGAATCTCCCTGGAAATTATGATTTGACATTGAAAATATCAATCTTTATGTTTCAGCCTATGTTTGCTTTTTAGATGTGATTAAAAGTGTTAACTCTTTTTTGCTTTTTGTCGATGCATTCAGTCATAGTTATTAGACTTCTGTTCTGTTCTGTTGCTGCTTTAGCTTTTTCTATACTAGACTAACTACTTAAGCAACTTCTGGGCCAGTTATCATCTGAACACATTGTAATCCAGATTTAACTCTTTTAGCCCCAGATAGATGTTACTTAATATTTTATATCTCAAAGTTGTTTACTTTAGAAAAACAATCTTTGAGTCTGATGCAGTTAACATTTACAGCACAAGGAATTGAACTAATAGTTATTGCCAAATTAGATTATCTAAATAGAATTCTAGAATATGAGAAGTTGAGAAATGTAGTATGCATGCAGTACTAATTAACTTGTGTTGACTTGATTGATGCTGAAGAAGTTCATACTTTGAAATAACCATAGCTTTGGGTGGTGGTTGCTTAGAAAAAGTGCATAGTTTCATTAGTCTATCAGTACAGCAGAGGTCACTGATGAGTCCTGCTGCAAAACTGGCTACAACCTATACAACTGTTTGGCTGCAAAATCAGCTAGCCATGAACAAGTATATAAAGGGCTTGGCATAGGCTGAGGGAACTATTCTCCATTATCTGGGAGGGGGAAAACATAAATAAATATAGCTATTGGTAAATGCAGTTTTATTGTCTGTGATGTACAGTGTCTGTTGTCTTCTTTCCTCATTATTTGTCAGCTGTTAAAGTGTTTATGTGTGGAGTAGGCAGTTGTGGATGGAAGACAACAAGAAGATTAAGGAAACAGCTGTCACATTAAATTCAGCATTATTAATGAGGTAACTTGTGACAGTGTTTTCAGTATATTTTCTACATCAACTGCCTAATGTTAAGAAAAAAACCTGACTGCCTGACAGAATTAGAACATCATATCTCTTTGCTTTATTTTAATTGAATACAGTCCTAACAAAGTTTCTGAGTTTGTGTCTGCGGTTGAACAACATAGAAGTTGTTTGTTATTTTTGTGAATGAAGTTTTGCTACTGAAGCTGCTAATGTGCATAGACATTTTTGCAGTGCATCCTTTGCTTTAGCCATGTGTCTACGTTACAGCTGAGAGTGCGTGTGCATCTCTATGGGCTGTTCACTTGTTGGTGGTGCGACGCAGCCAGGAATGTTGCATGTTCATTAATTAATTATGTTGTCATGTTCAACTACTAACTTGCCTTAAACACTTCGGTATTTAGATTTTTTTTTCAAATGTCCCCTCTGGGATTGCTATCTAAAGTTTTGAGACCAGTGACTCAAATAGCCACTTTTTGAACACAAATCCAACATTAGTGAAATCCAGTGACCCGGTTCAACCATAATAACCAGTTATATTGGAGCACCTGATAGTTACAAAGTAACCCACTGTCCTATGGTTTTTTGACTACATGAGATTCAGTGTTGTGTCTGCAGTTCACTTGTTATGTTATGTTGGTTGGTTATGGTTCAGCAAAGGCATTATGTGTTTGATGCTGAATGTAGGATGGTTAAGGGAGTCAGAAATATATGAGATCTGTTCTCTCAGAAAGTGGGCTATTATCTCACATAGTGATTGAGATAGCACTTACTATTCCCTATCTGTGTCAAGTATGCAGATGCTGATTGCTTCCCTTTGTCCAAAGGAGCTTTTAATTAAGCTTGTATGGTAGCCTTTGAGCTGTGCATTTCATCACAGTATGATGTTTGTTGAGTAAGTGCAATTGTAAATGTAGCAAAGCTTGAAAAATAAGAGACCCAAAGCTAAGGCTGTACAAATTTACTTCCCCAATGCTAGGCCCCCAAAAATTGCTTGATATTGCAAAAGGCTGGTAGATAGCAGTAGAGCAGGGTCATGGAACATGTCCTGACATTATGTGGAAGTCTCAGAGAAAGCACAAAAAGAAGACAAAAGCTGCCCAAAGTCCAAGAGCCAGACCACAGATGTAGACATGGTCCTGGTGCCAGAACAAGATACTAAATTAATGCTACTTGTTCTCAAAAGGGTGGTTTCAGAACTGTGTGGGAAACCAAGTGGAATACCTGCTTGTGATTTTAGCTGATGTTCACCACTTCTGTCTACAAGTGATTGGTAGATAATAACAAAGTGTTCCTGGTACTTTAACAACTAACAGCTTGGGAGATTGCAACAAAGGCACAGTTGAGGAGAGTGGCTTTCACACAGTCTGTCTTGAAAGTTTCTTGAGATGGAATGGATACCAGTTTAGCAGATTTGTGACATTCTCAATTCTCAGCATCAGTTGCCAGTCAGGATTATGTGCAGACGTACAGACTAAAATCTGACAATTAGAGGTCTGCTACTGCTTTTGTTCCACTGTTGAGTTTATTTGACATGAGGATTAAGTAGCTCAGTTAATGACAAAATATGAGGATTCTAATATCAGCGTAGACATGATAGATTTATGAAATAAAGTAGTTTATCGTTAAGTATTATTTGTTAGGTATGTTTAGCAACATACGCATGTGAACACAATCTTTCATACAACATCACAGCTGATCTGATCCTGTGATTGAGTGTATTTGGGTTCATCCCAGTGTTATTTGTTATAAGACAAACTGATAAATACCTGGATGTCTCCACTTAGCCATGTGTATGAGGTGAGACAAGAAGACAGACCTGATCCATGATTCTAGTAATCGTTTGAGGTAGTGAAATCTGACAGCCTGTGCTTGTCAGCATGGTACATGACGGTGGTATGTTATTGTGCTGGTTTGTGTATTTGCATGTGTAGTCATTAATGAAGGTAATTCTTCTTCATTCTTTCCCCTGAAATGTCGTCTATATCATCAATTTTGTCTCTCGTTTAAATTAATAGACATCTCCGCCCCCGTGTGGAATGAATTTGTCATTATTTTGAAGCTCAACCCTGGTTGTTGCCGGTGGCCCTAATATAACCTAACTGTGGAACGGGGTTTCTGGGATCTCTCCATGAGTGATCCTCATCTCAGTGGTGACTCTTTGTATCACCAGGTGTTTATCGCTCATTGTGATGTCCTGGTGAGGTAAAAAGTCAGTCAGTCATACACATTTCCCTGTTTTTTTTTTAAGTAGTCAATAGAGTTTACATTCCACTGTTCTTTCTGACCAAAAGGTTTGCCTTAATTTGAAAAATGTGATGCAGACCTGGAGTACATGGTTCTGCCGTCTGGGGCACCTTTCTACATGTGCACATGGCTGATTCACCTATCTGGAATTGTGTGTACACGTGGTTACATAATCCGTTGTGCCCTGTTCTGAGGTGAAGGATAATGATTTGTTCTAATCTTTTCATAACTGAATAGTCATCTTGTGCTGGGACCGGTGGTTTCCTGATAAATTTAATGTTTTTTTTCTGTTGGTGGTATGTAACTGGTACATCCGGCCGCTATTTGTTGCACCTTCCCCTGCCATTTGACTACTTTCTCATTCCGAGGTACTCCGCAATGGGACGGTATCCACTGCATTGCAACTCTTCTCTGACAGCTGAGTTGTGTCAGCAGTGTTTGCAGTTCTAGTAGTTTCGCAGACTGCAGTGCTTCAAGTACGGATTTTGCATCTGTCAGCAAGCATTTCCACAGACTGTGAGCCAAGATTAGTATTTAGCAGTTTTTCTGTTGCTATCTTGATAGCTTAGGTTTCTGCATCATAGTTATGGCAGTACTTCCTGGTTGGCACACTGGACTTATCACTAGTACCGTCTGGGAATGCTATGTACACTCCTGCACCACTATTTCTAACCGCATTTTGTACTGACCCATCTGTATACACTCGACCTATTGTTCTTGTGGGTTTTCTTTATCTATATAGCTGGGGGTGGCTATTCTATGTTGTATACTGTCTTGCTCTTTCTTGTCGGATGTTCCTTTCACATTTGTCTAATGAAGGTAATGACCTCTTATACTTCATGTATGACCTCCTCAATGTCTTGTCTATTTAAGTACTTAGGTGTGAGTGGTTTTTCATAGTTTTACCTTTTTTGTCACGAAACAAAACATATGTTGTATACCTTTTAATAAGCCTCTT